CCTAAACCCAATTGAGCATCTCTGGAGAGACCTGAAAATGGCTGTCCACCAACGTTCACCATCCAACCTGACAGAACTGGAGAGGATCTGCAAGGAAGAACGGCAGAGGATCCCCAAATCCAAATGTGAAAAACTTGTTGCATCATTCCCAAGAAGACTCATGGCTGTACTAGCTCAAAATGGTGCTTCTACTCAATACTGAGCAAAGGGTCTGAATACTTATGACCATGTGATATTTCAGTTTCTTTTTTAATAAATTTGCAAAAATTTCTACATTTGTTTTTTTCTGTCAAGATGGGGTGCTGAGTGTACATTAATGAGAAATAAAATGACCTTTTTTGATTTTAGCAAATGGCTGCAAAGAAACAAAGAGTGAAAAATTTAAAGGGGTCTGAATACTTTCTGTACCCACTGTATTTGTTCCTTTACTCGGCAACTTCACCAGCTACCACTGTTGAACTCCAAGCAAACAGGGGTAGGGGTAGAGTGGTGGCATGAGGTGGCAGCTGGTGGTGAATGCTGACAATGCTATAATATTTTTCAAGCAAATATTTATATATTTTATTGTTTGTGATTAAATGCACTTATATTTTTGCCACTGCTTAAAGTCTCCATGCCACCCTCTTGCCACCACATGAAAGTCTCTCTAGATCTGCCCATAGAATGGAATTAAACAAATATTTGCCAATGTTAATTTTACATACGTGTGACCATGCCCTTTAAGAACTAACTAACTAAATAACTGAACTTGATTAACTTAAATGATTCTTTACTAAATATGTATTGTAAAGATTTAAATATGCCCATTATTGTTTTTCTTTTTAATTTAGATAGCTAATTTAAGTATTTCTATTGTCATATGGGCTTATGTATTTCTTTAATTTCAGTAGCAGTCCAACAAAAACATGATTTATTATAAATTGAGAGCAGGTTAAAAAGACTTTGATTGGTTTTATATTTTCTACATCCTCTCTGCAGCTGACAGTGCATCTGTTTTCTGGACTCCACCACAAAGAAACTCTCACCATAAACCACTGGGACACCATCACTTCAGTCAATTAGTTTTACTGCAGCTGCAATGTGTATATTTCTTATAAAGATTTTTTTTGCCTTTATTGGACAGCAGAGGCAGATAGGAAACAGGGGAGATATCGGGGTATGACATGCAACCAAGATTGCTGGCTGGAAACAACTAGTGATGCTGAGGAGGCCATGCAGCATGTGCCATAACCAGCTTGCTGACTGCTCCTGCCATGTGTGTATTCTAATCAGAGCAGTAAAACCACAATCAGCTGCAGAGGTCAGTCACAGCCTGCAGAATCCCACAGAACAGATGGGGAAACAGTTTCTCAAATCTTATTTCTCAGTTTATCTGTCGTGCAAAACCAAAATTATTATCAGCATGAATGAGAAGTTTGTTGAGAGTGTAATTTATTCTTGATCTTGGAAATAGTAGTCTATTCAAGCTAAGGGCCTGGCAAGCAAATGAGTGAACAGAGCACTGATGACTTCAGTACACTGCCATGATAAAAAGGTGCATTGGATATTCACTGCAGTAAGTGCAGCAGTAGACTGCCTGAACGAGCTTGGAGGCCTCAATTTTCCTGTGCAATATCGAGTTACAAAGTGTCTTTTAATTTGATCTTATTCATATGTGTCCTTTGTTTCATATGTTCCATGTACATATTTTGACCATTTTCAAATTGCTTTAGTGTTAACCAACCTTATCCTTAAAGGAGGCATTTTCTATTACTGAGTAAACTAGCTAAGTGACATTTTATAGATATTTCATATTATATTTAATGCATAAGAATAAGACTACAGAACAACTAATAAACTGTACAATGAACCACAAAGTTTGTTTAAAGAAGAATTTTGAGCATATTATTTCCTGTCAATATTGCTTGCAGTTTTCCTGATACTTTTAGGATCTTCTTCTTCAATTATCTGTCTGTATTTTTAGAAATTTTAACCATCATACACACTTAATAGGCTTCTTTTTTGACAAATTCAGTGTTTTGTTGTCATTGTTCTTGTCTAATACAGGATGAGGCTGTTTATCAGAGAGTGAAGGCTCTGTGATATACCTATATATAATATAGCTTGTGTTCAGCTCTTCAGAGTTTAGATCTTAACTAATAATCAAAACTTTAAAAATAATTTAATTTAGTTTTATTCACTGTAATGAATGAAATGCTGAGATATAGATGAGATATACTGTTTTTAAAAAAAGTTTCAAGAAGGCCTTGCAACACCCTGTGAAGCTTCATCTCTACTGACATTTATGTGCATAATCTGAAGTCAAGTGACCAAGATTTCAGTATTCGAAGCATTTCTGTTTGTAGGCAGAGTATTGACCAATCACAACTGCGCTTTTGTTTTAGTTGCCTGCAGGTTAAACAGTCCGAGTGGAGGGCAGTGGCAAAACACATTGGCCGAAAGGGATCTTGGGATCCAATGGCTATTGTCTGACAGTGATTTAGCTTTTTATTATGGTAAATGGTAAATGGACCTGTACTTGTATAGCACCTTTCTAGTCTTCCGACCACTCAAAGTGCTTTTACACTACATGCCACATTCACCCTTTCACACACACTCAAACAGCGATGGCAAAGTCCATCCAATAGAAACTAACATTCATACACATTCACACACCGATGCACGGCATTGGGAGCAATTTGGGGTTCAGTATCATGTTCAAGGATACTTCGTCATGTGGCACCAGGAGCCGGGGATTGAACCCACAACCTTCCAATTAGGGAACGACCCGCTCTGCCTCTGAGCCACAGCCGCCCCTTTTTAAAGACGATAAATTATGAATATGTGTGAAAGGGTGAATGTGACATGTAATATAAAGCACTTTGAGTGGTCAGAAGACTAAAAAGTGGCTATATAAGTGCACTCCATTAACCATAACACAAGGATGCACCAAGATTTCTTTTGGTGCCATGAAAGTCAGTTACTTTGGTTATAGTAATACATATAATCACAGCCAATACAAATGTTGGACAAAACTATGAAATAAACCTATGTATTAATAAACTGGAATGATCCTTTAATGGCTAATGACCTGCCAAACAGTTAGCTACAGTGCTACAGTAATATACGCAGAGTAGGTTATCAGGTCCTTGTCTGAAGCTTTAATTTCTGTCTTTTTCCTAGTTAAAAATCTCACTTTCCCCTGAACTTAATTTAGACCACCATGACGTAGGGTCCTATAATGAAAGGTCTGGCAGTCATTGTAAACCTTTCTGACTCCCTCCTATTTTGCCCATAGTCATTGCTATGCCCTGAGAGGGCAGTGGCATCCTGACGTGTTCTCTACAAGATGAAAGACATCTAGAATAAACATGTGGTCCAACACATTCTGAAGTTTACCAGTTTACTGTGGCTACACATGGGTAATTTTCCATTGCAAGTTGTGATGGGAAGGCCAGATACATGGCAGACCTCGCTCATGTATATGAGGTGTGGTCTGATTAAGGCTGAAATGCAGCAGCCAAAGGTTAATGAGGTGGGTTCAGGTCTTAGTCCTCCTGGACACAGTAATCGAGTCTCAGGCTGCTTGTAGATTCAGATGGTTTTCCTGTCAATGATGAGGGGCAGGCTTTGGTTTCAGCCTCAAAAGTTTGTTCAAATTGGTTACTTAAATTGACGATGTGGTAGCACACTAACCTGATTGCGCAAGATGGTTTGTTACACAGAATCAACTGGGAAGTCATCCCTGGAAAGTGTTTGGAAAATGTCAGGGACTTTCATCTGTACCATGTGTCTATCACCACCCCCACAGTGAACTTTAAATAATCAGATCAATGAACCCATGTAACATAGTCCTACTCTTACCGAGGTCAGTCGGGAGAAGAGAGGAAACATCTTTTCTATTGAGAAAAGCATTTAGTGATGTTCTTTGCTCTTCTTTCAATAAAAAAATGCTCTCCAGTTCTGATAGAACTGATGTTAACAGCTTCTTCGATAACCCCACACATGCCTAGCTTTAAATCATGCCCGTAGCTAATGCTGTAGCTGCCAGTGGCTCCTCAAAGTTCCCGAGTCTGATTTAAACCACTGTGGTTTGGACACAAGTGCAAAACTGAAAGCCTGGCAAGATGGATTCTTGCATGATCTTGAGATTTCTCACAAATCCAGTTGCCTAGCAAGATTAATGACAAATCTCTTTGGTTCAGGCTGGACCTTTGTTCAGAAGAGATTATTATACGTAACTAGACTTCACTTGATCATGTGAAGCCTTGAAAGTTGTCTTGAGCCACAGGGAGCCATTCCAAAGAGGCAAGAATGGGATGTGATCAGTAGCATTTTAGATAAGTTCGAGGCGAGGAACTGACGTATGGCTTAGGCCGGAGAAAAGTCGCACCAGTTCAAGTGAAAGGATGGATTTTCCTCAAGATCAGAAACTGTTTAAAACGTTTTCTTTCAGGTGTTGTACTCTGCTCAACGAGTATGATTGTACTACGCTGAATACTTGAGACTCCATTTTTTTGGTTTTGGTCTTTACATGGGATTGGTATACCCCCTATAAAATGTAGCACATGTAACATTAGCCATATGGTTTAAGCATTATTCACAGATTAATTCCTTTGGATTTACACAAGCGTAAAATGGTTGTCCTTTGTACTGGACCCACTTTGACATCAGGTTTGCATCATGGGTCACTTGGGGAGAAAGAATAATTACAGGACCAATGATTATCTAGATGATAACAGAGTAGAAAACAATGTGACTCACCCCAACCCTGCATCTTGTGTTACATTGGGATATTACATTACATGTCTTCAGGTTTGGTGTAAAAGGTCAAATGTAGGCTGAATGTAGGCTCATGGGATCTTTGGTGAAAAGAGGTTGTTAGAAGGCTCAGTATTGTGAACTGGTATGCAAGCGGCCAGTTCTAAGAAGATCTTTATGTAATGTCTTGTTCATCTGGTGATACTAGTGGTAGAGGCTCAACAGATTTTTTTCATTAACTAACTTTTTCTTTCCCTCAGCTTGTGACAGTAACCACTGGGGTTCCCACTGCAGTAACAGATGTCAGTGCCAGAACGGAGCGCTGTGTAACCCCATCACTGGAGCCTGTATCTGCACTCCTGGATACAGAGGCTGGCGCTGTGAGGCCCAGTGTGAGGTGGGCACCTATGGTAACGGATGCCAACAGAAATGCCAGTGCCAGAATGGAGCCACCTGTCACCATGTCACCGGAGAATGCAAGTGCTCACCGGGATACACTGGAGCTTTGTAAGTCGAAAGATGTGTGAGAATCTGCTTCTTTCTAATCCAAATATTCCAGGTAGAATAACAGAGCCATATAGTTATTAAATTATTTTGAAGCAACACAAAACTTTTGAATGCGATTTGAATATAGTCTAAATAGTCTGTGCAGACTAATATTAAAGGTTACATATATAGGAAATTCACTGTCACTAGATGTTGCTCTAGAGCACCAGCACCTCAAGATGACAGCCACCGGAGTCCATTGACAAAATCAGTATTTCACCACACCTAAAACTTGTCTTTGTTAGTCTTTCCACAGTTTTTCCAGCAATCACCAATGCTGATTTGTTTGCAATAAACCCTTAATTCACAGAGAAAAATGGGCTGCAATGGCTGCATCCATGTGGACAAATGCGCTTGTCAAAGTCCGTCCTTTGAAAGTCCTTGTTTTTGTCACGGAGAGACAGATTGTTATTTGAAGTCTCTGACAACATTATGGAATGGATCCCTACAGAGATAGACATTTTTGTTAAATGCGTAAGAGCTTTTATTTTTTATTAGGCTGAGTCCTTGCTGCAGCAGCCGAGGGTTCGAATAACCCCCCCCGTCTGTCCTCAGCTGTCCTTTTTTATTGACCCAGAAATGACTGTATGTCGCTATGGCTCGCCACCAGACTCTATAGACAAAAACTGTAATTTTACTTTATATCATCGTAACATCGTAACTTCATTAACAGTGGACAGAAACAAAATATAACTCACCAAAACCGTCTTTGTTTGTCTTTCCACTGCTCCAACAGTTTGACAACTCGACAGAGCTATGAAGAAAACTTGTATCAGTAACTTTTCCTCATTCATATATATATATAAACTATAAGATATTCTGATATTTTGAATTTCTATATTTTGAGATGTGAATAAGTTTAAGGTCAATTGCAGCCATGAACCATGCAATAATATTGTATTTGCAACCAAAAATAAAAGTGACATGATACTCACTGTTAAGGATTATACTGCTCCAGTTTTACAATTGTTTTAGAAAGTAAACTTGCATTTTTGACCTTCGAAAGTGGATAAATATTAACCAGAAGCTGTTTTCTCTTTCTTCATAGCTGTGAAGACCTGTGTCCTCCAGGGAAACATGGGCAGCAGTGTGAGGAGAGATGTCCATGTCAGAATGGAGGAGTGTGTCACCATGTAACTGGAGAGTGCTCCTGTCCTGCAGGATGGATGGTACACACGCCCAACTGTTTGTTTGAGCTATTTAGAAGAATGGCCTGTTGTCATTCATACTCATAATGACCATTTTAAGAGTGGCACAATGTATACAGTACATTATATAAGGTGCTAAGGGCCTACAGAATTCAACAGCTACTTTACGTGACTAGCTGACGTCAGATAATCAAAGATTTCTTTATATGGCTATCTGCTCCAGGCAGAGCACAACTAAGCACGGGCACTAATAACAGGGACCTGCTTAGTCTGTCTAAACTATATATATTGAGTGCTCTGCACAGGAATCAGGACTAACCCCTCTGGTTTCTGTCTGCAGAAAGACAGAAAGTCTTTCTGTAAAGTTAGATATTTTCCTCTGATGTCAGGCGGCTTCTCTGCCATAACTCTCAGGGATTTACAGAGTTTACTGGTGGACATTTACTTGTAGCTATTAACTAACCGCTAGATGCTGCTAGGACTGGGAGCTCGAGGCACTGCGCTCCCGGTGGTCCAAAGCTCCTGTACTAGAGATGTAATGTTAGACACTGACACTGCCCCAGTGCTCTGAGCTCTCATCCCGGGGAGAGTCACATCATAGGACGTATAAGTTAGCTGCACTGCTAACCAGCTAACAGCAGCAGCAAGTTAATGGCTAAAGTAGCTAAATGCTAACAACAAGTAGCTAAAGTTATATTTCAATCAGTGAGGCTGGGTCCCACAGAAATACTCCACTACAGTGGTGGAATGTCTCATCTGTGACCTAATAAACTGTAAATCCATCAAATTCAGTGCATCATATTGCTGTTTTCTTCAAGGTAAGGTACTGAAACTTCCATGCTCTCAGAGCACACCGGCGAGGGGACGAAACGGTATTGACCAATCCCCCAGGAAGAGCGCCAAACTTGACATAGTGGCCAAACCATATGATTTGGGCAGCAGTAGCTTAGTCTGTAGGGACTTGGTTGGGGAACCAGAGGGTCGCTGGTTCAAGTCCAGCACAGTAATAATAATAATAATAATACATTTTATTGGTAAGGCACTTTTCATAAAAGAATCTGAAAGTGCTACAGAAACCAAGAAACAAAATAACAAGAAACACTAAGGGCAATAACACATTAAAATCAGCAACCAATAATAATACAAGTGATAAAATACATTAAGAAAAACCAAAAAATCTAAGGACAACTTAAGAACGCCTGCCTGAACAAGAAAGTTTTAAGCCCACAATAAAGTATTTCTTCTTCTAATTACAGCAATGTCATCAGTCACGGGACGCACACTAGTCCATAAAGAAAAGACAATGAACTGAAAGGGTTGCATGAATTTTCAGTATTTAGATAAACAAGGATGTGTTTGAAGAGTGAATCATGCAAATCTGCTCTAGTGGAATCTCCGACTGACAATATAGAGCTGGAAATGAACATGAGCAGGTCCCTATTAGTAGGACAACTTAATCTTCAAAGTAGTCACAGCGTCCTCACACATGCCAGTATACTCTGATAACATGTCAGTATGAGCGGAACCAGAGGACAGAAAGGCATGACAGGATTAAAGCAATGGTCAACTTTTTTTACATTTTTGATAAAGTTAAAAGGCTCACAAAGATTCAACAATTATCTGAAAAGACTGTAAGACAGGAAACAGATGTCAAAGTCTTCTAAAATCAGTAACTTGGGGTCATAATATGATAGGAGCTCTGTGAGAAGCAGTTGAAACTATAGACTACAATACAGCATAGAGGACTTGTATCCGTGATTAGGAAAATTAGATCATCTTTTCCTAGAAAACATAAAGGCACACAAAGATCGGAGGTGTAAAATCTGCTCACATGATGATGACGGTTTACTGTTTGTATGTTCCTGTTGTGCAGGGTACAGTGTGTGGCCAGCCATGTCCAGAGGGGAGATTTGGACAGAACTGTTCCCAGGAATGTCAGTGTCACAACAATGGCTTCTGTATGTCATCCACCGGGCAGTGTCTCTGCAGCCCCGGATACATCGGAGAACGGCAAGAGACACTTTTACTATATACCATACATCAGTGGTTCACAACCTTTTTCCTTAAGGGACCCCTCGTCTATCTATTGAGTAAACTGATGATTCCTGATTATATTCAACAAATACAGAACACTAAACTGTACAATGAACCCAAATAGTGAACACAATAACTGCAGGAAGTTTGTGTTAAACGAGCTATTTAGATGAACTGAGAGTTTTTTTCCTGATGTTTTTAGGAACTTTTTATACAATCTACGGAAGCCCTAAAGAGCTACGCATTCATTCCGTTTTCCCCTGATAACGAGTTAATTTCATTTGTTTTCCCGAGATAACGGGAAAATTTTCTCAAGATCTCGAGATAACGAAACTTTGTTTTTCGAGATAACGATATAATTAATTTGCGATCTCAAGATAATGACTGTGATATGATAACTGTTACTCCGATCTCCGTGGTCAGCCGCACTTAAATTTTGAGTGTACAAGTATTCTCAGCATTATGGTAATTGCGGAGAAACAGTGTATTCACTTCCGGTTTTCAAAATAAAGGTATTAAGAACAGTAAGCTATAATTCGAACCTACATTTAAAATAAAATATCAACTTAATATCAAGCATTTTTACTGCACCAATGTGGAGAAATGCCAAAACAAAAGTTCCATATTTGTACCTCCAAGTGGCATCTTTTCTCATATTTGAGGTACAGTAAAAACACATTGCTCAATAATTCCTGGCTATGGATGGTATATCTGACTTCTACACATATAAGACTACAAGCATACTTAATATCAAGCATTTCTACTGCACCAATGTGGAGAAATTCAATGTAATTATGGAATTTTATTGTTGAATTTCTCCACATTGGTGCAGTAGAAATGCTTGATATTAAGTATGTTTTTTATTCATCATTGGCGCATGAAACACTTTAATGTAACATATTTTAAGTAAGTTTCGTTATCTCGAGAAAATTATCCCGTTATCTCGAGAAAACAAATGAAATTAACTCGTTATCACGGGAAAACGGAGGAAATAAAATGTATGAATACATGGCCCTTTAGGGCTTCCGTAACAATCCTCTGTCTGTATTATGTTTTGTTTTTTAACAATTATACATACTTAAAAGGCTGCTTTTTTGATCAAGTCAGTGTTTTTGTCTCCCTGATATTAGGCCATTGTTCTAACCGGTGTTCATCAAAGTTTAGATCAATAATACAAAATAAATAAATAATAATTATAATAATAATAATAAAGTATACATTTAATGATACGTTACTTTAACTCTTTCTTGATTAAGTACTTTTACTTTTTTTTTCACACTACAAAGATTTTAAATTGAAGTCAGTGTCATTTAAAATAACTAAAGCTACTTGATCAAGAATGTTTTATTAAACTTACATAATTAAGTTAGTTTTACTTCAAAATTTCCATGTAATCACTTTCAACAGTTTTTTAGATAAGTTCAGTCAGACAACCCACGTTTGAAATGTTTATTATCAGTGATGGGAATAACGGCGTTATGAATAACGGCGTTACCATTACTGCCAAACAATGCGGCGCGTTACTATAATTAAAGCAGTTTTTTTCATCAGACCAACTAGATCTCTGAGCCGAGAGGCAAAGACTTTTTTTTTACTGTTCTTTCTTGGTTAGTGGGCAGTGCATGAGACAAGCGCATAAATGCTGACGACTGGCTGAGGTTGAGTAAAATTTCATGGTAAGCCAATCAGAGGTAGAGTTGGGCGGGTGTTCGAAAGCACGCATAGTCGGACACACAACGAACAACACAAGCGAGTCAGTCAACGAGAGACAGGTATGGCGAGTTGTGTTGCATCTTATTACATTTGCACTAAAAAGAGTGTATATATTGTTTGAATACATGTTTGGTACATTGCTTAAAGAGCATCATTTAATTTAGATTTATTTGTTGGCTGGCTGCAGCCTCTTGAAGTGAGATTGTCAATGGCCAGAGAAAGAGATTTATTTTTATGGAGATGTATTTTTTATTTCTTATGTATTACCTATTTATATTTGGATTCCTTAGTTTTGCTATACATTGTACTTTTCAGTTAGATTGAAAGCACCTCATATTGTTACACTGTTCTACTTTTTCGAGGAAGAAAATACTTGAAGTACAGTATATCTACCAATTGTCTGAAGTTTTTTTTTTTTGTTTTATTTGCACTACAAAGAGTGTATATATTTGTTATTTATTTTTGGTATAGTGCTTAACAAGCATAATTGAATTTTGCCCAGTTGTGGCCTGTTGAGGGGCAATAAATATCAAAAGTTCCAAAACATCTAGTGTTATTTGTATCGATCCACTATATAAACACAATATCTACATACATGGCATTTGATTGGAGGCTAGTCTCACTTTGTCAGCAACATTAAAATAGTTTAGATTTGTGTACATTGTTTCTGTTAATAATGTATTGTATTAAGTGTCCATCTCATTATAATATTAAGATTTATCATAAATAATTGAACATGCACATGTATTTTGAGTTCCATTAAAGGTGGGGTCACAGCATTTAAAAATGTACTTGAAAGTAACGCAATAGTTACGTTACTTTACTTTCTGAAGTAATATGTAACTGAGTAACTAATTTAGTAACGTTTTGGAAGTAACTAGTAACTGTAACTAATTACTTTTTATAAGTAACTTGCCCAACACTGTTTATTATAGCAGTATAGCATATTTAGATTTTGGCGTCTAGGCTCCGACCTCATCACTCCCCGCAGATATGTTTACATAGAGATATTGGGAAGTGATGAGCAAATACCTTAACCCCTAACCGGAGCCTACAGGTGGATGCTGGGGTGGTTGTGGAGCTTACTGCACAGCAGGCAGTAATACTGATGCAGGGCAACAGCGGCATTGACAGAGCAGAGGGAGAGCTGGGAAATTGTGCAGTTTAAAAGAAAACGAGTTAAATTTAGTTTCTTTCACAGAAATTAATGAAATTTGGAGATATACGCCTACTGTATATTTTTCTAAAACTATATACGTTTTCTAGTACGCCTTAAAATCAAGAAGGCCTTGTGACCCTGTATGAAGCTTTGGCAACCCCTAGTGGGGACGAGTTGGAAGAGTTGGGAACTACTGCCATACAGTATACAGTAATTTGTATCCCAAAAGATGCTCACCCTGGTTTTCCTGGAACAGCATCAATCATCAGATTTATGGTGCTATTAACACGTATCCAACAAACAGTATGAAAGTATTCTAAAATGTGGCATAAAAAGTTTAAGGAATAACATTATTGTGCTGTATGTGTCTTTACATTTTTATGCCTCCACGCCAGCAATAGCAGTGGCCGCGATATCTCAGGAACACCTCAAGGAAATTTCTTCATATTTGGCACAAACATTCACTATAACCTCACAAACATGTTTTTGGCCAAACTTAAGAGCTGATGACCATATTTCACAATAGGTCGGACAACGAATTGGTGACATTTTTGACTCAAAGGTCACTGTGACCTCAAAATGACATAGTCAGATATTGTTTTTGATCAAAACTCAAGAATTGATGTGGTAATCATGCCAAAAATTCACACCGATGTTTAATGGGAAAAAATGATGGAGTGATTACATTTTTCTGTAACAGCGCCAATTCATAACAGAAGTTCAGGACGTGCTACGGTAAGCGTACTGACTCATTTCCGGTTTACTTCCTGCTCTGTGTACACTGTTTGATGCTGTAGCTCTGTCAGTGAACGCTAAAAACGCAACAACAGTATTGGCAATGGCAATCTAGCAGGACCATGGCAGGAGGCTCCACCAGGATCGATAAGAACATGCGAGACGAGAAAGCACAAGAACTCCGGGGAAGAAGTGAAGTTAGTAACATGCATTAATGGGACATGAATGAGTGCAGAAAGAGAGAGGAAGAGAGGAGCTCAGTGCACCATGGGAAATCCCCCGATAGTCTAGGGCTATAGCAGCATGACTAAGGGATGGTTCAGGACTCACCTGATCCAGCCCTAACTATAAGCTTTATCAAAGAGGAATGTCTTAAGCCTACTCTTGAATGTGGTGAGGGTGTCTGCCTCCTGAACCACAACTGGAAGCTGGTTCCACAGGAGAGGAGCTTGGTAACTGAAGGCTCTGGCTCCTGTTCTACTTTTAGAGACTATAGGAACCACAAGTAGCCCAGCATTCAGAGAACGTAGTGTTCTAGAGGGGTAATAGGGTATTATGAGCTCTTTAAGATATGAAGGGGCCTGACCATGAAGAGCTTTATAGGTGAGGATACCAATACTGTTGTTGCTGTGCACCTGTCTGTCTGTCTGTCTGTCTCTCTGTCTCTGTCTGTCTCTCTCTCTGTCTCTGTCTGTCTCTCTCTCTTTCTCTCTCTCTCTCTCCCCCTAACTGGTCGAGACAGACGACCACCCACCTAGAGCCGAAGGATCTGTCCTAGGTTTCTGCCTTTTAACAGGCAGTTTTTCCTTGCCCTTGTCGCCAAGTGCTTGCTCATGGTGGTACTGTTGGGTCTCTGTAAATAATGTTAAAGAGTTCGGTCTAGACCTGCTCTATTTGAAAAGTGGCCTGAGATAACTTCTGTTATGAATTGGCGCTAAACAAATAAAGTTCAATTGAATTGAATTGAATAGTATATTTCCAAGGGCTTTGATGGTTTGACGCGCACCCCTAAACCCCTCCTTGCAAGTTCAGTTTCTCGACCTCAGTATGATGTTTTCAATAAATTTCCAGTTTAAGCAGTGCTCAACAGTGATTGGCTGCACCCACAAAGGTCAGCGCTTTTCGGGTCAAAGTTTATCAACATGCTCCTACTCCACCCAATGCACCACTTAATGCACATCATACAGTGACAGAAGAATTTATAACCATTTCTTTTTAAATTCTAGTCTAAATTTTACAGGGAGCCAGTGCAGAGAAGCTAGTACAGGAGAGATGTGATCTCTTTTTCTAGTTCCTGTCAGTACTCGTGCTGCAGCGTTTTGAATCAATTTGAGCGTTTTAATGGACTTATTGGGGCAACCTGATAATAAAGAGTTCCAGTAATCCAGCCTTGAAGTAACAAATGCATGGATTAGTTTTTCTGCATCTGTCTGTGATAGTATGTGTCTAATTTTTGTAATATTACGTAAATGAAAGAAGGCAGTCCTAGAGGTCTGCTTTATGTGGGAATTAAATGACAAATCCTGATCAAAGATAACTCCAAGATTCCTGACAGTGGTGCTAGAGGCCAAGTTAATGCCATCTAGAGTAACTATATCTTTAGACAGTGAGTCTCTAAGATTTTTGGGGCCAAGAACAAGAATTTCGTTTTTTTCTGAGTTTAACATCAGAAAATTGCAGCTCATCCAGGATTTTATGTCCTTAAGACATGTTTGTAATTTAGATAATTGATTAATTTCATCGGGCTTGATAAGATCCGGGACCTCAGTGAGATCAGTGGTGGTGGTACCCAATAAGAAGTAAGGGTGCTCATTTGTACAAAAATCAGAAGTGCCAGTATTCATTCCCATTTCGAGACTGCATGTTTTTGTGTTGACGTTCTTACCAAATTTATGAAAATCAGTATTTCATAGCTTGAAAATGGCTAATTGCACTTTGCAAGGCCAATGTTGACATCCTCCACTCGTTATTCTAAATTTGGACACTAACATTATTATTTTTTACTGCAAATGTATGTTGGTTCTAAATATTGGTTATCAGTTTCCTTGAAAGCTATTAATCTGTGTCTGTATGGGCCCTGACAAACAATATCTGTCTATCCCGACCGGGTTGTCCTCACTGCACTTGATTAGGACAAGCTTAAAAGTAAAACAAACAAATTCCAATTCTGATCATCTGTATCTGCTTAACTCTGCCACATCCTCCCAAAGCAGAACAGGAGGCCCAGTCAGTGTTTTCACAGACAAATGTCAGCAGAGCGCCACGCACGGCTTCAGGCCCATATAATTAGCAATATCAGAGAGTGCACACCATATACTTAAGCAGACCAGTGACGAGACAGGAATAGCCCTTCCAAGTGCACATTTATGAGTAAATAAGGGTTTGAGGGAAGTGAAACATCACGGTACAGCCCTGCTTTGACTGGGCCGACCGTGCCACACCCGAACCCACTGGAATCCATTAACAGAAGAGGGGGAGCATTATCTGCCCCTGGGGAAGAAGGGACACCACCAACTGGGAAATAATTGCCCTGCATTTTGGCAGTGCTTTGCAAGAATGTGGATGATTCAATATATGAACCGGACTTAATGAATTCAACTGTGCTGTCAGAATGGATGTACTGTAGAGATGTGTCTGGTTTAGCCTTAAAATATCAGGAAAACAAGTTCATATTTGCTCTTCTTGCCTGCTCTAAATGATGGGATAGTACTTTTCATTTTCAAATCCAGCTTGAGTTGGTGGTTGGTCTGAAATACAGTGGCAGGCTCAGGTTGTTCGAGGGGCAGGGGCCTAAACAGTTAAAAGAGTACCAGCATGCAGAAAGTTGTGATGCATTTATGGTGAAACAGCCTAGTCATGGTTAGGATTAGGACCATAGAGGGCACTTTATCATATTTTATCTACCATAGGGGCATCCAAGAGAGTTGCTCAAATCCTCACACTGCCCATTTTTCCTTTTTCTAACACATCAACTTTCAGGACAAAATGTTCACTTGCTGCCAAATATATATCACCCACTGACAGGAGCCATGATAACCAGATAATCAGTGTTATTCACTTCACCTGTCAGTGCTCACAATGTTATGGCTGATCGGTGTATGTGTCCTTTTTACTGCCAGGGGTGGATTTAGAGAAATATTCATGCGGTGTCCAGAGGGTGGCATGAAGCCTTTAAACTCACCTGGAGCTGAAGCCCCATATACCCAGGCTCTCTCCTGAAATTCTATGTGTTTTTAGCATGTTATTTTTTAAAATTAATCTAAATGAATGTGTTAAATTTGACAGCATTTGAAACCAGATATTGTTTGCACTAATTTGTCAACATTTTACAGATACTATTTGTCAACATGATGATATAGAACTCAATCCAAGTGGCAATACCCCAAAAGCAGATTTGTTCTGTATGAATATAAGCATAATTCTTAAGTCACAGTAACAGTAACAGTAGCAACATAGAAAGATATTGAATTCCCTTGAGAGATCTGTTATTGATCACCTCCACCTTTTCAAATAACTGACCATGGATATCACTGTGTCTCTTGCTGTGAACAGGTGCCAGGACGAGTGTCCGGTTGGTACTTATGGTGCTGGCTGTGCAAAGACGTGTCGCTGTAAGAACAACAGTAAGTGCTACCACACCAACGGAATGTGTCTGTGTGAGCCAGGATACACAGGGGAGACATGTGACATCCGGCTGTGTCCTGAAGGCAACTACGGCCTACGATGTGACAGGAAGTGTCCGTGCTATGCCCAGAACACACGCAGGTATGCAGGAATGGTCTTCATACTTAAATTTGGTCAGTCAGTTGCTGAAAATATTTCTATCAGTGTGTTAAAATATGTGTATTTCAAATTAAAGTGTTGACAGACATAAGGAGGAAGACATTTTCATTTGTTGCCTTTGTGATGGCTGATCCTGTAGACAGAGTGATCAGTTAGGCTGGCACAGCTGGCGGCTGCATGTGTTGTTACAGAGAACAGCTGTTGTGCTCCTTCTCAATGGGAGCGCTGTGTCAGGTGGGCCAGCTGTCCGTCAAACACAATCACCAACCAATACAGGCAGAGTCCACCTGTGTTACTGCACATAATTCCCACCGTTCTGGCAGGGAATGGAAAACATCATGGAGGAGGAGCCAGAGGAACCAGATTTTTTCACAGATTGTCTGTCTCATGTACTACTGTCAGAGCATCTAATTTTCTCCTTTTCTTTCTGTCAATAACTTTCCATGATGCTGCTATGACTACACCATATGAGTGTGTGTGGGGTTAGTGGATAGTGTCTGTTATATGATGATGCTATCAAAACCTTAAAGTATTGAATAGCATTTGTACATTTTATTGCCATATAGAGTTACATTATAACCATTTCTGTGAATATGACAAATGGTTATTTTTATAAAAGTTACAAATAAATTGTTATTTCTTTTTACTTTACTGGATGTTTGTTTTGTGAGTACGCAGTATGGGTTTATTTAAGGAGAACGTGTGTGTGTTCGTGGACTTAAGTCATTTGCTGTGTTTGTTAAGTGTTAAGTCTGTGTTTTCAGAACAGAGGGAGTAACATCTGTTATGATCTCTTGTCTTGTCAAAAATATCAATTAAATAAAATAGATGCAGTTCCAGAAAGGTGGGAAGCAGTAGCAGAACTACAGTATGAGCTAAATCTAAATGATTGAGTACAACCTGTAACTATGGTACATGTTCCTCTCTTATCGCCAGCTGCCACCCTATGTCAGGAGAGTGTACATGTCAGCCTGGTTGGTCAGGCCTCTACTGCAATGAGACATGCACTCCTGGATTTTATGGCGAGTCCTGCCAGCAGGTGTGCCAATGCCAGAACGGTGCCGACTGCCACAGTGTGAGTGGAGAGTGTATCTGTGCCCCAGGCTTCACGGTAAATAAACAAATTTCTTCTTTCATTTTATATAATGTTTATAAAGCATGTATGACGTGTGTGGCTGGTTCGTGTGGCCTCATCAACATATCATAACCCTGGCTCAACCGCCAGCAAACCCAGGCCAGACTAGACATGGATACTTTCTGAACTGAATCTTTAAAATGGATCTACTGGAAATGTTCTGCAGTGCAAGGCTCCATGTACCTTCTCAGTACACCTTAAAGGTGCTATCAGTGAAAGCACAGCTCTTTAGTAACATCTAGAGGCAGCAGAACTATAACAATATAAGTAAATGCTGTTTTCTTAGCCTGAATGAATGAATAAATAATTTCCAAAGATACAGTTCCAGCACGTAACTTCCCCTAAAACCACAAATTGTCATGGTTACATTTCGGTTTGTTTATGGATTAAATAAATGAGATACAGTGTGTTAATTAGTGAGCTTTAAAGGTGTTAGTAGAGGTGTTTTTTACAGAGCCGGGCTAGCTGTTTCCCCCTGCTTCCAGTCTTTATGCTAAGCTAAGCTAACCACAGCTTTTTACTTAAACTTATATGTAATTTCTGCCGTTATGGTGTTTCTCACATTAAAATAATAACAATGATGTTGTGAACTAGTATGGGATCATAGGTTGTTGTCTTCACCATCATTGCAGTCAGCTTCTCCCATTTAGGATTCCTTCAGTGTTCAGTTCAATTCAGTTCAATTTTATTTGTATAGCGCCAATTCATGACAGAAGTTATCTCAGGACACTTTTCAAATAGAGCAGGTCTGGACCGAACTCTTTATTAAATTTGTTCATAGTTCAGGAGGTTTCTACTGAGAGCCCAATTATCCACAGAGGTCTCCTCCTCTCCAAAACAAACAGACCCACAAAAAACAACAAACACTGAATAAAGCAGTTCCACCTTAAAAATCACTTTCTCCCACGCTGTTGGACAGACAAAGGACGTCCCGGAGGAGCTGTGAGTCGAGCTGCTGCTAACGTTAGCTCAGCTTGTTTCTCTGATAACTTAAGATCCAGACGTCCGATGACTAAAATGGTAAATGGACCTGTACTTGTATAGCGCCTTTCTAGTCTTCCGACCACTCAAAGTGCTTTTACACTACGTGCCACATTCACCCTTTCACACACATTCACACAGTGATGGCAAAGTCCATCGAACAGAAACTAACACATTCATACACATTCACACACCAATGCACAGCATCGGGAGCAATTTGGGATTCAGTATCTTGCTCAAGGATACTTCGACATGTGGCGGGAGGAGTCTGGTATAGAATCAACAACCTTCCGATTAGTGGACGAACTGCTCTGCTTCTGAGCCACATGCGCCCCTCCTTCAAAATCTAAATCCTTCATCCGGTTCAAATCTAGAGTTAAAAAGCACCAAGATCTAAACAGTGGATGGTAACAATGTGGCTTCAGACTGGATCAACAGTCAATGTATGACAGCTTCTGGCAGACAACCACAACACTGACGCAGGCACAAAGGGGATATGACGCCATCGACAGGCGACCGGTGAAACGCAGCGTTACCTGAATAAAATGACAGATTTCTCTGAGTTTGAACATTGTTGGAAACATTTGGGATAAAGGAAGTACACAACTCAACTACATATAGAACATAGCTCTAGAGTTTACAGACATTTTAATGTGGAAATTGTACATACAGTATTATAGATTTAACACATAGACAGACTCACAGTTTGTCATGGAAACATCAGTACTCTGTGGGAAAGCAGCATATTTCTCCTTTATTTAATAGTAAGGACATCACACATTAATCAGCATTTCTGTAAATGTGGCAGTGTTAGCCAGCTGGATAATTTTCAACTGCAGTCCTTTGGGGGGATGTTTTGAAACCTATTAAATGATCAAATTTATAGAAAGTAAACGACAACAGACACAGCAACAACTCTTCAAGACAGAATACAAGCCATGCAGTGCAACAGAACGTTGGTACAATAATAGTTATTATTGTTTTCCAACATTTCCATCTGTGCTCCGAGTTGGCTTTGGCATTGGCTTTTCACGCTTAATCAGTGTCCTCAAAAAAATCGACTTTCAACGTCGGTCAGGCGTCTGGTTTGCTCGCTGATTTTCAGGGGCGTGTCCGGGACCTTAAATTGAATCTCCCTACAACCTCTGAAAGACAGAAGAGTTTAGGATAATGTTGTGGCATCTGGGGTGGCCAATTAGATTTCAAAGGTGGCGGCCAGTGCCACCCCATTATCCTAAACTCAATTTCAATTTAAAGCTAGAATGAAGATACTGGTATCATATAAATTAAGATGACCTAACACATCCATTAGTATCAACCATGTCATGTTAGCATGTCAGGAAGGGGACTAAATAAAGCTCCAAAATTACATTTTTGTGGAAAACTTGCATGGCCCTTTTCAAACAGAATCACTTGAACTCTGACCTCAAGATATCCCACGAGTCTCCCCTTTGCAGACATGACCACTTTATGCTAATCCCATGAAGCTTTTGAGCAAAAAACCCTGCAGTTTTAGTTCAGCAGTTCAGCTAGTATATTTGAATACCAGTATTTCAGCATACTGGGGTCCATAAACAGTACTGGAATTGCATAAATTGGGAATGACTGGAAAGCTGAGACACATACTTGATGCCAACCCTGCATAAGGCAGTGCTCTTCCAGTCAAAAAAGTAGTTGTTGTTTGTTTTGTTGGGGTTTGTGGGTTCTTCAATAACAACACACTGGTTACTTAAAGAGATAGAACTTTACTGTATCAAAGACGTGAGCTTCATTCATGTTACAAGTACTACTGCTTCCGGCTTCAGCAGCTTACTTGACTCATAGACCAGAAAAGCCCCCTGCTGTCTGCACATGATAAGATCTACAAAATGTGCTCTTATCATTACATTGTTCTTATTTAGTTTCTAGTTTCTTGTCGTGCTGGTTGTAAATCTTTGCTATGTCTGCAGCCATGCTATCCTGCTCGTCTGGTGGTGAGTTAGCTCTGCTTCATTAGCACCAAAGCTAGCTGTATTTCTACTGGTGGACTTGGCGGACATTTTCCCTTTTTTTTTCCTTTTGTGGGGCCATGGCATTATTAAAGCCATGGTCAAACTTGGAGTATGATCTCTGCAATGTTAAATTAAATTGCAATAGCACAGAGCGGTGTGAGCACCAGAACATCACTCTGGCACACATAACCATGTAAGCGACACAAAACAACAAAACACAATAGCAGTAAACACCTAGTCATGGATAAAATAGTCATTATGATTTCCTTCTTCCATTTCTGCTGCTGTTGGGGACAGTATATATGACGCATATACCAATCATATCTCACCTCACACATCCATCTATAGGATAAGTAGACAAGGAGTTGGTTGAGCTGTACATTTAAGGTAAGCTAACTGTGTGTCCCCCTCAGGGTCCCAACTGTTCCGTCCCCTGCCCAGCAGGATCACACGGAGCCAACTGCTCCTCCAGCTGCAGCTGTAAGAACAGAGCTCAGTGCTCACCTGTGGATGGATCCTGTTCCTGTAAACCAGGTGAGTAGAGGAGGAGAGGGGGAGGAGGAAAGAGAGGAGAGTAGGAGAGAGAAGGAGTAGGAGAGGGAAGACGAGAGAGGGAGGAGAGAGAGGGAGAGGGAGGACAAGATAGGAGGAGAGAGAAGGAGGAGGAGAGGAAATATGAGAAACTGTGAGGAGGAGAGGCTGTAAGATAAGAAAGACGAGGAGAGGGAGGATGGGGGGGGGGGCAGGATGAGAGGGAAGACATGAGAAGAGGAGAGAGGGGGAAAGGGAGGACAAAAGGGAGGACAAGGGAAGATGGGGAGAGAGAATGAGAGGGAGGACAAGAGAAGAGGAGAGGGAGTAAAAACATGGCTCTGTCAGCAGTGAATATACAGTGTATACATATGAATGGCTTTATACTGTAATTCAATATTAATTAGATAAAAACATGTTCATATTAAATGATACAATATATATTTATGTTTTTACAGTATAAAAAGATATTTCATCCTGCTTCTCCATGATAAAACACAATGATTCTTTTTACAAAACCACCATAACTTCTGTCAGCGTTATTTGAAGGAAGCTGTTCTAAAGGTATTTTGTTGTAATTATTATGATACTGTCTATTCAGGGTGGCACGGGGTAGACTGCTCCATCAACTGTCCCAGTGGTACCTGGGGTCTGGGATGTAACCTCACCTGTATGTGTGGTAATGGAGGAGCGTGTAACGCATTGGATGGTCAGTGTACCTGTGCTCCAGGCTGGAGAGGAGACAGGTGTGAACTCCACTGCCAGGTGAGAGAATATGAATGCTCCAGGATGTTTTTTATCAACCATAAATATTTCAAAGGGGTTCAATCAATTCTTAAAGCAGTCCACAGAACCACTGTCACTGTCCTGTTACAACACATGTAAATTTAAAAGCCTGAAAAGTTCCTGCTGTAGCCTATGTCCTGTGTCACTGTTGGTCCTCCTCAGGATGGTATGTATGGTCTGGACTGTAAGGAGCGCTGTGACTGCAGTCACGCTGATGGGTGTCACCATTCTACTGGTCACTGCCGTTGTCTGGCTGGATGGACTGGTAAGACCCCATAACAAATTAGCACATGGCTGATTTGTCCGTTACAGTATACTGTACCTAAATGTCAGTTTTCCAGTACATCCTGCTGTCTATGGTTATCAGCCATGTGAATGACACAATTAGAGATGGGGCTGTAATTGTTATAATGTAACTCTATATGGCAATAAAATGTACAAATGCTATTCAATACTTTCAGGTTTTGATAGCATCATCATATGACAGACACTATCCACTAACCCCACACACACTCATATGGTGTAGTCATAGCGGCATCATGGAAAGTTATTGACAGAAAGAAAAAGAGAAAATTAGATGCTCTTTTATTGTTCTTATCTCAAAAATGTAATTTAATATGAAATAAGTATGTTCGATGTTATTAAAGTAGGCCATCGACATATATAAAGATTGACGACATGACAGGTCTCTAAAAGTGAAGCCAAAATATCTCTATCGCCCCCTGATGGCTGACTGCAGTATAGGTCATGAAGTCTGATGCTGCCATGTTAACAGATGGGACAAACAAAAAAACTTTAAATACACGTTACATTTTTCCCAAAGATAGCTTCTGTCATTGTGGGTAGTTCTTATCATGCTGTTGTATGTTCAAATATACATTTTTCAGATCAGTTTGGTTTTAATTAGTTATTTGAAGAAGGGGGGTTTTATGTCATGATTGATAGCTGAGCCCTGCTTGCAATTGATGAGTTGGCTAGACAAATGGGATGGACTTTGATAGTTCAATACAGATTTCCAATGAGAAACTTTCCACTTTCAGCAGATGAATGTGAAAACATCATTCTAGTGTCAAACTCTGCACAGACATCATTCAAACATCACACTGTAGGAACAAGAAGAAACACTGATTTCTGACTGGAGGGGGACTTTAAATTAAATGAAAGGAGAGGATCCATATAACCCCCATGTTTCTGTGTGTGTGTGTGTGTGTGTGTGTGTGTGTGTGTCTTTGTGTATGTGTGTGAGCAGGTATCCACTGTGACAGTGTCTGTGCAGAGGGCCGCTGGGGCCCGAACTGCTCCCTCCCCTGCAACTGTAAGAACGGAGCGTCCTGCTCTCCAGACGAAGGTACCTGTGAGTGTGCTCCAGGATACAGAGGCACCACCTGCCAGAGGAGTAAGTTCTCCATCAGCAGCACATCCTCACACAGCTGACACTTGACTTCAGGAATTACATTTATTTCAACATTTAACATTGTACTCTAGCTATCACTGCTGCTTAGTAGCTGAAATCTGGGAACATGTGATATCAATTGTTACGACCCAGCTCGATTTGGGGAGCAGTAACATATAATTGGAATTGGAAAAAGAGATGGAATACAACAATTGACAGGTTCAGGTTAAAATCAGGTGTTTTAATTAATTAAGGAGAGTGTGCTTGCACAATGAAATACAACAAAGGAGAGGCTATACAGGTGCTGACAAGTAACTAGTACACAAAATGAAAATGACTGGATAATACTGAAGAACAAAAAGAGATCAGCACCCATAAGCTTACAACCTAGAAACAAAACCAAACTAGCAATTACTGAACAACTTAAAGGGTCACAAAAGATACAAAGGCACTGGCTGAATCCACTCAGATAACAGCCAGGCAACACTAGAAAGTACAAACACTCTAACACAATGGTGTGCAACCAACAGCAAGGCGAACTGATCACTAGTTCACAGCCGCCCTGAACTGTGGACACACAAGCTATTTAAGTGCAGCTGGGGTTGATTGAAGTCTCCTGATTGGTAGCTTCAGTGGACTTGCAGCCACACCAATCACTGAAGCCAGGGGACAGCAACCAGGAAGTAGGCGGTCTCTGCTCCAGAAGGACCAATCCTCAACAGGGAATCACATGAAACACCATAATGAATATACACTAAAGCGGCGGCCGTAACACAATAAAAATAGTTAACAGACAAGGGTCAAATTATTACCACAATTATTATCACAGTTTGTTCATCAGCATTAAATCCACAAGTAACATCGCAAAATCTCTAAAAGTTGACAAAGAACAGCATCTTCAAATCTTAACCAGATGGCTTACAGATCAGCGACCTTTGAATGTTTTGCCACAACCCGCAGGACTCTAGTCTGCACCTGCCCAGGCATGCGTTTACAGGGGTGGGGAGGCAGCTGTAGTGCAATAGCCAGGAAGTGTTGATCCCCGGTTCTGGGAAGGAAATAGGGCATTAGAATGGGTGTGGGTGTTTTGTACTTTGGTGAGCACAGTGTTGTCATTACCAATAAAAATGATGGCCAGAATTATCCTTTCAAGATGCTGTTTTTATGAAAAACTTCATTTAAGCTTTCCAAGCTTTTCAATTCACTTCCAACAAATAAGAAGTAAAACAACCCTCAGATTTTTTAAACAACTTAAATTTGAACAGCTTAAAGGTTATATGTGAAATTCACTGCCACTAGCTGTCATACTAGAGCACTAGCATCTCAGACCAAAACAGTGGGTGTTACGGCTGACCAGACTCCATTGACAAAACCAGTAATTTTAGCTAGCAGATAATCATAAAACACACTTGGACAAAAACACGTCAAAACCAAATAAACCCTGATTTCCCCAAGTTAGTTAAGAAAATAGTCATGAAACGGGCTGCAATGGCTGCCAAGTAATAAACAAATGTTTCCATCACAGTACTTTCACTAAAAGATGTTGCCACTGACAGTGTCTGACAACATTATTGAAAGTATCCCTACAGAGATAGACCTTTTGTTAAACCAGAAACAGCCATAATATCCCCATTGCTCGCTACCAAACTCTATACACAAAAATGGTAATTTTAGCTTGCATATCATCATAACAACATAACTTTACTCTAAGTGGACAGTAACAAAATGAAACTCACAAAAACTGTATTTGTTAGTCTTTCCACTATTCCAACAATCCCCTATTCTATTTTAGTGGAAATAAATCCTTAATGCCGACGAGAAAAACAGCTGTTTCAGTCGCTGTACTCCATCAGAAACGGAGGGACTCACATAGCAACACAGGTAGAGGGAGTGTGACGTCATTCACTGTTCAAGACACCATGAGTCCACTGTATCTTTATATAGCTAACAGTTTGTTGCTATTAATGTTTTAAATCTCATATACTGTATATAGCCAAGCTCAAGGTCCACTTTCTAGCTTTAAATGGAGCTTTAAATTGTATCACATGGTCATCATAGTAGATGGAGACCTATACACGAACACACACACATGCAAGCATCAATCAATCTCCACAACTGAAGAACCAACAGGCACTGGACAAGTTACCAGTCATGTGAATAAACACTGTGTCACCAGTGAAGTGATCCACTGTCTTCCATATTTATCAACTTCAACTTATTTCAACTTTATTGGTTTTACAGAGGACATAGATACAAGACAATAAAATACAAAACAAGAAGATAAATTACAAAACATAGGACATAGGGTACACCATCACCTTCCCAATTCATAGGATTGTGCTGGTAAGGTACTGAAGATATATATATACGGAATAACTTTTAGGAAATTATTATATATATAATATGAAGGTTGAATGTTACTGCAAGAAGTGTGGGGCTGAGTGAGCCTGCACGGAATCTGTAAGAAGCGCTCCTAACTAATGAAGAGATGATTAACACCATGGCATTAAGGGTGCAAATTATTAAACTCAGGGTGCAATGCATGTTTTTGCACCTCCATGGAACCGGGCCTGAATATAAACTTACTATAATTACACTACTCCCAAAAAGTTAGGGATATTCAGCTTTTGGATGAAATTTCAGAATGTACATAAAATGCACTATAACCTTTCCAGGTGATCCTAATTTGACCTTCTACTTAAATGCCCTACTTTCATGATATAATATCACTGTAGCATCAACTTTTTACATTTTCCATAAATTTCACCCAAAAGTGGAATATCCCTAACTTTTTGTGAGTAGTGTACATATTATAACAAAATAATAGCACTGAAATCTAAAAAATAATAAAGAAACTGTGGGGCACGTGCCCTTCCAGAAAGAGCCAGAGGAACCTGCGTTTTCCACAGATTACGTGTCTCATGTACTACTGTCAGGATATAGTGAAAGTTTCAGCAAATATAACAAAAAGTTGTTTTTATAAAAATCGCCTGACCTTTGTCATTATTTTGCACCAAACACAGCAAATTCACACAAAATATTTTTTAATTTTAATTGTATTAATATAAATGGTAGTTTAAATTTAATAGTTGGTTCAATTTAATGAAACAACTAGAAAAAAATAATAATCTTGCGTGTCAAATTATATTATACTTTCAACATCATGTCACAGGCTGGAGGAAGGGGGGTGGAGGGCTGGAAATGGCCCCCAGACCAATGACCCCCTGCTGTATAGTCAACCTAGAGCAGTTGTCATTGGATTATTAGTTGAACAGGATTTCAAATCTATTGGATAATGAAACCGAGGGTGGGAGTTTCACTTTGGAGCATTATTTAGCCCCCTTCTTGACAAGCTAGGTCTTCTAGTTTCATATGGTACCAGTATTTTCACTAGCTTTAAAACTGAGCCTACTACAGTGGTAATGTGTGGAAGAAGTTCAACTTCATGCAGCCTGATGAACTCATCTCTATATTTCTCCTGGTTTTCCTGCAGTCTGCTCTCCAGGTTACTTCGGTCACCGCTGCAGTCAGACCTGCCCGCATTGTGTTCACAGTAATGGACCCTGTCACCATGTCACGGGACAGTGCGACTGTCTGCCGGGCTTCAAAGGGGCACTGTGCAATGAGGGTGAGTTATCCTGCACCACATAGCTTCCAGTGTGTTAGAAAGGCTTCGGGCTTTGTAGGTCTGATACTGGTCCCAACTTCCTCTTGCTATTAGTCCTAGATGTCCTGTTCCCTGAGTATTCTTTGAGTTATGACACTGAGAATAGTCTCCGTAAAAAAATCTGAGCTGTTTGGGAAGCATCGGAGCCTGAAGACATTTCACATTTTACATTTCAATGCAGGAAATTATAAGCTGTAAATGTCTCAACCGGTCACAACGTTAGGTCATATGATGTATCACACTACTCAACAAAGTTCCATAGATTAATACATGAGAACAATACTGACCATGTATGTGTCATAAGAATGTCGCAGTGATCAGCAACCTACATTCCAGGATTTCAAAGCCAGTAACTCCATGGATGGTATCTGAGATGGCAGCTAAAATACAGTTGAAGAACATTATGGAATATGATTCTTGTGTGCAGTGTGTCCCAGGGGTCGCTTTGGGAAGAACTGCGCCTGGAGCTGCAGCTGCACCAACAACGGCACCTGCAACCCCATCGACGGCTCCTGCCAGTGTTATCCAGGATGGATCGGGAGTGACTGCTCCCAGCGTGCGTTCACTCAATAGAATGATAAATAAGACACAAAGATATAAAGGTTACACACACTAACATCTTGTTGTCACTGTGTTGCAGCTTGTCCACGTGGTCAGTGGGGACCCAACTGCATCCACACATGTAACTGTCACAACGGAGCCTATTGCAGTGCTTACGATGGAGAATGCAAGTGCACCCCAGGGTGGACCGGCCTCTACTGTACACAACGTCAGTCACACACACACACACACACACACACACACACACACACACACACAGCAGTTTACCCCTTTGAAAGTGAGTTTCTGTCACATGTAGTAAATGACAGTGGAAGCAGGTTTACAGCTGGTTGACGTTTAATGACTCCCTTGCAGGTTGTCCATTAGGTTTCTATGGGAAGGACTGTTCTCAGACCTGCCAGTGTAGGAACGGAGCAGACTGTGACCACATCTCTGGACAGTGTACCTGTCGCACTGGCTTCATGGGACTACACTGTGAACAAAGTATATCACGCCGTCTGACGTCCTGTCTGCTTTTTATTCCTTCTTTCATCCTTTCTTACTTTTTCTTACTTACCTCGTACGTACACCTCTGTGGTGCATTGTGGAATTTTATAACTGAACTTATGAGCAGGACACACACTGTTACTTTCTCTGAAATCTGATGTTTTCACATCAGTTGATGCATAAAACTATTGATGCCAGAGGGAGTAAAAGTGTGTGTCCTGCTCACACCACAGAGCGTCTCTCCTGCTGCACTCCAGCCAACATGCTGGGACACTGTTTTTACACATAGAAGGAAAAAACTGTATGTATATAAAAATGTATAACATTTGCTGAATTTACAAGAACAATTTGTCCTACACAGTGTTTCACAAAGGTGATAAAGTCTCTCCTCACTCAACAATGCTTTACATTTTTTAATGCAATCTGGGGATATTGCGGTTATTAGACAGTCTGTTCACAAAGATCTGCTGCTTACATTGGCAGGTAACAGGTTTTTTAATTCACGTTACCACACTCACCACCTATCATTACCATTTGTAGTTCAAATGATTCTCCAGCTGCTTTCAGCACTTCACTGACAATTCAACTTCTTTCCGTGTTTAAATTTGCTTCAACTTCAGAAAGTCAAGTACTCCCATACAAATACATGTTTCAAAAGCTTCAAACAATCAAAACATTAAGACACTGAAGCTAAAGCAGGCTCACATACATTTGAAACCTTATGTACAGTGTTTGTGTTATAGTTGACTTAAATTACTTTTTACATATTTCCAGAGTGTCCTCCTGGTTCGTATGGTTATGGCTGCCGTCAGGTGTGTGACTGTCTAAATAACTCCACATGTGATCACATGACTGGTACATGTTACTGCAACCCAGGCTGGAAAGGGGCTCGCTGTGACCAAGGTGAGGACAAGCCTCAGTGTAGATTAGGGCTGCACGATATGGTAAAAATATCATATTGTGATTACTTTGACAGATATTGCATTTCATGGTCTAGTACTTGTACTTTGTGCAATGACAATAAAGCTTAATCTAATCTAATATGATTCACAAAAAGTTGTCCGGCTATTATAATGGAATCCCCTTGGTACTTTGATCACTGACAGCCATCTCCTTTTGAAAGATTTTGTCAAGTTTTTTTTTTTTTAAACTGACTAAGTGTTCATTTAGAACAACAAACTTTATAAGGCCTCTACCCTCTCTCTGCAGCCGGTGCAGTGGTGGTGGGCAGCCTCAACAGTCTGACCAGTGCAGCCATGCAGGTGGACACATATCAGATTGGAGCCATCGCGGGAATCATCGTCCTGGTGCTGCTGGTGCTCTTTCTCCTCCTCCTCTTTATTATCTACAGGAAAAAGCAGAAAGGCAAAGAGCCCACCATGCCGGCTGTGACCTACACTCCTGCTCTGAGGGTCACTGCTGATTACACCATCGCAGGTACATTACAGGCTTCAAACTGCAACCAGCTAAGTGACATGTGCCACCCCAGTCATGTCGGGCCGTCAGCTGGTTCCCATAAAATGTGTCTTGTATTTCATTGATTGTTGATTTTTCAGCTAAAGGTCCAGTGTGTAACATTTTGGAGGATCTATTGGCAGAAATGTAATATAATCTTTATAGATATGTTTTAATTTGATCATCCTGAAAATAAGAATTTTTCTGTTACCTCAGAATGGGACGTTTTTTGGCCACTGTAGTTTCTCCGACACAAGGTAGGAAGGCTGCACTGTATTCAAACGGTTGCACTCTGCAACTTCTCCACTAGATGCCATTACATTCTACACACTGGACCTTTAAAGCTGGAGTGTATGAGTATGTACATGTACACATACTGTACAATAAAGCTGATTCTGATTATAGTGTGATTGAGTCTCATGCTTTGAAAGCACTAATGAACTGGTCATTTAGTGCATCCTGGTTAGAGTTCCTGTCACCTTTTTTCAGATGCTCATCCACCAACATGTGAGGGTCACCCCAGCAACTACTTCTCCAACCCCAGCTACCATACTCTGACCCAGTGCACCAGCCCCCCACATGTTAACAATGGTCCATATGGAAAGGTATGGAAGCGGACCTTTTCAGAGCCTACTGAGGTGGTTATAAGACATGACAGTATGGAACTGATGTGTTTATTTTATTTTTCAGGCCAAGAGCAACCAGCTGTTTGTCAACTTGAAGAATGTGGATCAGAGGAAGAGGGCTCCTCTAGCTGAAAACACTGGCACACTACCTGCAGACTGGAAACAAGGGGACTGCTTCAATGAACTAGGTGAGATATTGAATGCATTGTAGTGTACTCAGATGGCAGCATTATGCTCTAATCTTTGTGTATTGTTGGCTTTAAATCATAGTGAGCCTCTATCCCACCATCCCACTATAGATCTCTCTATAATAAGTGTTGATAATGGTCTCTTGCATCATTTTTGCTTCCACCATTCACTGCCCTTCCTTTCATTTTTCTTCACACCAGGAGCTTATGGAGTTGACAGAAGATACATGGGGAAATCTTTACGTGGTAAATCCTAGAATTATAAAAATAAATGCTGAACTGCTCGGTTAATTGCTGGCATTCCCCACTCACTGGCTCCCTCTGTCCGTGTGATCCAGATCTGGTGAAGGGCACACTCTATCACGCCAGCTCCTGTTCCCTCAACAGTTCTGAAAATCCATATGCTACGATAAAGGACCCCCCCCTGCTCACAGCCAAAAACACTGAGTGTGGCTACGTGGAAATGAAATCACCGGCAAGACGGGATTCACCGTACGCTGAGATCAGTAACAGTAGCCCGACCACTAACCGGAATGTCTATGAAGTTGGTGAGGAGCTTATATTTGGTATTTAATCACTGTCATTGTGAATGCTTCCTTTGTGTTAACTACATATTCTACTGCTCTATCAAATTAGGGGTGGGTACTATGGGTCAAATCAATTACAGTGTAGAACAGATGCTTTGGGGTGCCTAAATGTCTGTATTTGACATCCTGGGAACAAGACTCAATAAGCAACCATTTTTCTCCAGAATGTGTGTTCCTCCTGTAACTACCAACTCGGCTGTCTTTGCTTTCAGAGCCAACCGTGAGCACCATCCAGCCGACTGAACACAGCAATGGCCACGTTCAGTTTGGTCAGGATCCATACGATCTACCAAAAAACAGCCACATCCCCTGTCACTACGACCTCCTGCCAGCCAGAGAGAGTCTGTCCTCAGACCACAAGGAGCTGGACAGTGAATGATGGCACAGAGACCAAGTACTCCAGCTTGCAGCTCCAGCATTGGATGTTCCACAAACAGGCACACTTTATACCCACAAAATACTTTCACTCGTTTTCTTGCTGTTATACTTTGACTTATCATATGTATCACGACTTCTTTTTTAACAAAGTGGGTATATGAGACTTTGGAGGTTAGTGTTGAGGTACAGCTGTTCTTTTTTTTACAACAATTTGTAAACTGCGATGAAGTCTTCAAAAGTCATTCCACATGTTTGGGAGATAAGGCCTAAGTATGCTTCGAATGAAGCAGTTCGTACAAAGTGTCTCACCACTGCTAATGGCAAAAGTGTTTCTACCTGTCCCCATATGGCCACACTCGAAGGCAGCCTGAAAAGCCTCCTGTCATAGCCTCCTTCTGACTGCCTCCCAGATCTCTGTCCAAGAACTCTGCGTCTTTTGCCTGTCTTGTAGTCTTAATGCGACAAATCGCCAATCGCTGCATAAAGGTGGCCGAGATTCCTGTATTGTCTGATTTGGAAAGATACAAAAATCATCGGACGCAGCCCTGTCAGGATGGTGGTTTCAGCTGCTGTTAAATTATCTGAGTACTTTGTTTCAAGCATACAGAAGCCTTTATGATGTTAGCATATAACATTCAATACCAATCAAATCTATTTTTGTAACAACAGTAGTAGAAAATGGCTAATTTGATGGAATATTAGCAATTATATCAAAGATTAGATGTTTCAGAGTAGTAGAATCTAGCTGCTGACAGTGTTTTTGATGTTTGCACATCACAATGACATCAATTGCAGTCAGTCCGTGCTGGATTAGTATTTGAGTTAACCAAAGGTATCAGTTCCATTTAAAGACTATTTTTATCAGTGTAGCTTAAATTGTTAAATCCAAGAGGTTCCTAGCTGAGCCCCTTCTCATTGTATCAATATTCCATATTCCATTTTTGATTTCGCACTAACTTTAGATCATTTCCTTTTCAATTAATCAGCACACCCGGCAGAATAATAGAAGACAGTTAAAACCATAATTCATAAATATCCTAATTCATCATGATCATTTGCACCATTTACAAAAGGTCTTCTAAGCTGGATGTTCTTCCATAGAGTTGCACTTGATGATTACTAAATCCATCTTGCTCAGCCGTTGCAGTTAATTTTCAGTTATCAACAAAGGTGTGTGTAGTATTTGATCAGGACAGTGGAACCAGTGCTGGATTTGTAACCGAGCAACTGCCCCAGGGGCCCCATGTTTATTGTGAGCCCGTTTCCTACCTTGTATTAACATGTAATCTGTATTTGGATATCTCATCTGGACCAGATAGAACACCTTAGTGGAAGGGTAAATGCAAGCAGAACACATCACAGTCTGAATGCTTTTGGATCGGCCTGAACTCATCTGGAGGGCTAACTAGTGCTGTGATAAGATCTTAGCCAGCAAGTTAAACATCGCTTCAGGAGACTCTCGAGGGACCACTACAATGAAAAATAAGATGAGAAGCACTTGGCTGACCTTTATACAGTATAAGTAACATTAGCATAGTTAGTTAGTAAGCCTGCAGATGTCTTCATCTGTCACAGGACCCTTGCCTTGTATGTAGCGGTCCTTCATAAAGTATTCCTCATCATTTCTCTTGGACGGAGTTGTTGTTTGTTGACAGCCTACTGAATTTTCATATCGAGATCCAATCTCGATGTGGGCAGAATCAAGATAACAAACTTTATAAAAGCTTGTCATTGCTGAAGCTATCCCTTTATTCTGACAGTAGTACATGAGACAGATAATCTGTGAAAAAATCTTGTTTCTCTGGCTTGATTGTTGAGTCTCATTCCCAGGGAGTCAAGTACCGACACTTTGGGTTGGCCACTTGAAGCTTTGGGACCGAAAGTGTTGGGAATGGCATTCTGCAAATACTATTAAGAGCACTAGGAGGAGCCAGAGGAACCTGATTTTTTCACAGATTAACTGTCTCGTGTTCTACTGTCGGGATATAGTGAAGGTTTCAGCAAATATGACAAAAAGTAATTTTCATAAAAGTGACCTACTGCAGCTTTAAATGCATTCTTTTATTTGATTGTTTACTCATTGTGTCGATATACTGAATAACTTTTTGTTATGCATGAATGGAGTGTTATTAAAAACATTATTTAAAGCTCTGTGTGAAAGAATACAGACCAGTAGATGGCAAATGTAGGAATCCGACCAATGAGTACTGTAGATCAGCCCAGTATTGTTCAGGAAACCCTTTTCCACTGCAGGAACCCATAATCTGGTAAACTGTTAAGAACTTTGAAAGTCTTTGGTACACAGTTCTTTCTTTTGTTTCCACTGCATTTTACAAACAGGACGTTTAATATATATATAGAGCATAAACAATGCAAAAGCAGGATATGCATACCCACCATATTTAACAGACTTTGATCTATACACAGACAGCATGGAAGAAGTTTAACTAATTTTATTGATTTTCTTTCTTATTTATGAAGATATTTATTTCTGACTGGGAATCCATGGCACTGCTGGCACAAGTAGGGATGGGATGATATAAGATATTATTGTATATAATGATTAAAAAAAAATCTTGTTTCTTAACAATAAAGTGGTGTGTGTTTTAGTGCCATTTAAGAGTATTAAGTATATTTTGATTATTATCGGGATAATATCGTGAATTGCAATTATTCTGACCAGGATAATATGACATGAAATTTTCATATCGTCCCATCCCACACACAAGCCAGTCAATGGCCCAAAATACTGCCCAGTTCATTTAACTTTTTTAACTTTTCTTTTCATGTGCACATGTAATCTTTTTTGGCTCTGTATGTGTGGTCCACCTCTTAGTTTCAAACCGCTGACTCCAGCTCCTTCTACATTGCCTCATTTACCGAAATACTAATGACAGCCTAGACATGCTGGTGACGTGCTAATGAAGTGTCCTCTGCTGTTCTTCTTTTTGGTTGTCCAGCTCCATCCAGTAGTAATCCAGTGTATCGACATGTGTGCTTGACCAATCATGATTGACAGCACTGCCGATAACCCCTGAAAGCACTTGAACCTTACATTTAGTGTCGTCTCCTAAGCAGCACCCAAATGTAGTTCTACAAACAACAAACAGTGGAAATAGAAGCAGAACCTGTGACAATGGCTGCACTATATGTTACGTTAAATTATGTTTCTGCAGTTGAAAGGGGATAATAAACATTTTCCCTGCACCTCCAGCTCCCCACTTCTGGCAACCCCTGAAAGTACCTAGAACTTCCTGTTAGTATCACCTCCTAAACAGAGCCCAGATTTAGTTCCAGGAATTTGTCCCCAAAGAAGTTCCTGCGGTGGTAAGGATCATATCTATGTGGAAGCCCATCCACCTATGTAATGATTTTTGAGATAATAAATCAAAATATTCAAAGATTCTAATTATTTTGAGATACTATGTCAAAATATTGAGAAAGTTTCTCATTATTTTATGATACTAATCATTATTTAGATAATGTTTCTCATAATTTGAGATACTAAGTCATTATTTTCGGAAAGTTTCTCATTATAGTGACGAACAGGATCCTTTTTTTCAACACATTGGCAAAAATGGGATACCATATGTTTCTTTCTACAATTATACAATTACATCTTCATCTTGTCTGATAGTACCACTTCAGGAAACATCCTTATATCACCACATAAATCCAGTTTTCTGTACAATAAGACCTAACCCAGTTGCTGATCTTTATTACTGTGCAGTTTAAAGGGCTGAACATATCTAATAAAATGCAAGCTTAAGCTGGACTTTGGCTTTTTGAAAGGTTAACTGTAACAGTAACAGTTCACATTATTCATCTGTAATTGTCATTGTCATGTATCACAGAAAATTGTTCAGAACAACATTTGCTTTTGAATGATTGTATTTTTTTCTTTTTGTCTTTCCTGTATTCTGAATGGCCTAAAATAGCAGTCTTAAGCTATTCTGAGCCTATTTGAAATGTTTGTAAAATAATGTATATAGTTTGATCAGTTCTGATGTAAAATAATAATCCATTCACCCATGGAAATTGAAAACCGGAACAAATGTGGCATTTGGTTGAACTGAAGGATTATGAAAAGCGGGAGTCTTTTACAGATACTGCCTTTATTTTGTAGTCTTTTTCCCCTTTCTGTGTATTCAAAGGGTGACTTGAGATGTTTGATCTGACAGGAATGCTAGAGCTGAAGAAGTTTAACAAATACATCAAATTCATCTTTTCAAATCCATCTTAACTGGTTCTTTAATCCTCCAGTTGAAAGAAGAATCACTTACACACAAACTGCACATTTGTTCCCCAATAAGGTGACAATGATTTAGCCACTACCATCATGGGATTCTATCTATTACGCTTTTTGGGGTTTTGTTTTTCATTATAGTGCCGTTTGTTCAAAAGTTTTGGAATAAAATGACATAATATGATGAAATAGTTTTACGTGTGTGGAATTTGTGAGCACTTAATGAAAGATTTTTCGGCAGACATTTTGAGTTTTGATACTGTTCAGAAGTACATATTACTACAAGTCACACATGTTAGGTTAATTTGTTTTGTACCAAGGGGGAAAAAATGATACATTTGGCCTTATGCAGTATGTGATATACAGAGACATTTCCTCTTATTTGCTTGAATTGTTCTTATGATGATGATGATGATGATGATGATGATGATGATGATGATACTTTATTGTCAAATCAAGTTTTTCCTGCATCACAGCAGGTTCATTTGCAAAAACACAGAAAAGACACAAACAAGAAACAAAAATAAATAGGCCTATATTTAACTTAAAAACACAGCAGACAATATTGAAAGTCATGCAATGTGCATTTGATCTGGGATTAAGATCCATATTTAATTTAGGATTGACTGCTATAGGAATATAATATTCATAAGTATGTTTTCATTAGTGTATAATAACCTGAAAATAAGAATTGTGTTTTTGTTACCTTTTTATTACCTGCCATTTTATCTACAGAGGGAGCCCAGAACGGACAAACCAAACACTGGCTCTAGATACAATTCAGTTCAATTTTATTTGTTTAGCGCCAGTTCATAACAGAAGTTATCTCAGGACATACATGTAACATTTCCGCATAATGTGCATAAACTCTAGACTTAAGTATGTTGTTGAGTTGTGTACTTACATTATCTCAAATGTTTCCAACAATGTCCAGAGAAATCATTACATTGGGGTTCAATTCAATTCAATTCAATTCAATTTTATTTGTGTAGCGCCAATTCATAACAGAAGTTATCTCAGGACACTTTTCAAATGGAGCAGGTCTAGACCGAACTCCGTATAACATTTACAGAGACCCAACAGTAACACCATGAGCAAGCACTTGGCGACGGGGGCAAGGAAAAACTGCCTGTTAAGAGGCAGAAACCTAGGACAGATCCTTCAGCTCTAGGTGGGTGGTCGTCTGCCTCGACCAGTTGGGGTGAGAGAGAGAGAGAGAGAGAGAGAGAGAGAGAGAGAGAGAGAGAGTGAGAGAGAGAGTGAGAAAGAGAGAGAGAGAGAGAGAGAGAGAGACAGAGACAGACAGACGGACAGACAGGTGCACAGCAACAACTACACCAATAGTAGTGACTGATGATGATGAACATGAAGAAGATGATGACGACAGCAGCAACAATGGGGGACAATGAGTAGTGACAATAGTAATAATAGTAACTGTAGTAATAATAATAATAATAATAACAATAATATCAATGATATAAGCAATGGCAGTCAAGCAGGACCATGGCAGGAGGCTCCACCAGGATCCATGAGAACCTGCGAGACGAGAAAGCACAAGAACTCCGGGGAAGAAGTGAAGTTAGTAACATGCATTAATGGAACATGAATGAGTGCAGAAAGAGAGAGAGAGGAAGAGAGGAGCTCAGTGCACCATGGGAAATCCCCCGATAGTCTAGGCCTATAGCAGCATAACTAAGGGATGGTTCAGGACTCACCTGATCCAGCCCTAACTATAAGCTTTATCAAAGAGGAATGTCTTAAGCCTACTCTTGAATGTGGTGAGGGTGTCTGCCTCCCGAACCACAACTGGAAGCTGGTTCCACAGGAGAGGAGCTTGGTAACTGAAGGCTCTGGCTCCTGTTCTACTTTTAGAGACTATAGGAACCACAAGTAGCCCTGCATTCAGAGAACGTAGTGTTCTAGAGGGGTAATAGGGTACTATGAGCTCTTTAAGATATGAAGGGGCCTGACCATGAAGAGCTTTATAGGTGAGGAGGAGAATTTTAAATTCTATTCTAAATTTTACAGGGAGCCAGTGCAGAGAAGCTAGTACAGGAGAGATGTGATCTCTTTTTCTAGTTCCTGTCAGTACTTGTGCTGCAGCGTTTTGAATTAATTGGAGCGTTTTAATGGACTTATTGGGGCAGCCTGATAATAAAGAGTTGCAGTAATCCAGCCTAGAAGTAACAAATGCATGGATTAGTTTTTCTGCATCTGTCTGTGATAGGATGTGTCTAATTTTTCTAATATTACGTGAATGAAAGAAGGCAGTCCAAGAGGTCTGCTTTATGTGGGAATTAAATGACAAATCCTGATCAAAGATAACTCCAAGATTCCTGACAGTGGTGCTAGAGGCCAAGGTAATGCCATCTAGAGTAGCTATATCTTTAGACAGTGAGTCTCTAAGGTTTTTGGGGCCAAGAACAAGAATTTCGTTTTTTTCTGAGTTTAAAATCAGAAAATTGCAGCTCATCCAGGATTTTATGTCCTTAAGACATGTTTGTAATTTAGATAATTGATTAATTTCATCGGGCTTAATCGATAGATAATAACTGCGATCTCAAGCAATGAAAGTTAATGGAGTGATTCCTAATAATGTTGCCTAAAGGGAGCATATATAATATAAGTAAATAGTATTGGTCCAAGTACAGAACCTTGTGGAACTCCATGACTAACTGTAGTATTTATGGAAGATTAATCGTTAACATGTACAAACTGCGAACGATCTGATAAATATGACTTAAACCAGCTTAGTGCGATTCCTTTAATGCCAGTTTGATGCTCAAGTCTCTGTAAAAGAATATTATGGTCAATGGTGTCAAATGCAGCACTAAGATCTAATAATACAAGTACAGAGACAAGTCCATTGTCAGAAGCAATCAAAAGGTCATTATTAACTTTAACCAGAGCTGTCTCTGTGCTGTGATGAACTCTAAATCCTGACTGAAAATCCTCAAATAAACTATTGTTATGTAGAAAGTCACACAACTCTTTGGCGACTTCTTTCTCCAGAATCTTAGAGAGGAAGGGGAGGTTACTGCTTTTAAGATGGCTGTGTGGCCATGGCTGTGGCCATCACACTAGATAAGAGAGCCGCTCCATCCAGAGTGGGATGGATGCCGTCTCTCCTACTCAGACCAGGTTTTCCCCAAAAAGGCTTCCAGTTATCAGTGAAGCCCACATCGTTTTCTGGACACCACCTCGACAGCCAGGTACATTGACTTTTTATCCAGTTTGAAGTCACATTGTTACCATCCACTGTTTAGATCTTGGTGCTTTTTAACTCTAGATTTGAACTGGATGAAGGATTTTAGTCCTTTGTCTGTCCAACAGTGTGGGAGAAGCTGTGATTTTTAAGGTGGAACTGCTTTATTCAGTGTTTATACCATTTTAATCAGCGGGTTTTGGAGAGGATAATTAGGCTCCTGGTAGAAACCTCCTGAACCATGAACACTGAAGGAATCATAACCGGGAGAAGCTGACTGCAAAGATGGCAATGGTGGTGAAAACAACAACTCCCATGATCCCACAACTTGGTCTTTTGTAACTGTTTCGATGTAAGAGACTAATTATAAAGAAAAAAGCAGTTTACTTTTGTTTCACTTTTAAAGGAAGATTCTTAAAGGGACACTTCACCCATTTGCATTAAGCTTTGTATCATTAGAACCCCAGTCATATTTTTGAATGGTTGTGCATCATTCCCTCATTTTCCCTGAGAGGGGAGAAATATGGATGTTAGTGTTGCACTTCCTGCTTCCAATGATGTAAAAATTGTCATTTTGCGTCATTGGAAGCAGGAAGTCTCATATCTCTGTAGAGGGGGTGAGACTACAAACACTACTTCCTCATTTTTTTTTCACTCACGCTACAGACCTATTACAGATCAGTGGGTGGGACTTCACCTGCAGAAACTAAAATATATAACCGCCATCTTGTTTGGAAGCTAAGGCGCTGTCGAGCCAGACGTTACGACTATGGCGGAAGGTAATCAATCTGATATGGAAGAAGAGGATTTCGAAAGTGTGATGTTCGTGGCTACCTTTATGAGCCGCAATATAGCGAAGAGCAGCTGAGGCTGAACAGGAGGCGGCTGAGGCTTCTGCAGCCGAGGCAGAGGACCTGCCTGTCGTGGACGAGGAGCCCGGACTGGCTCGAGCTGGGGCGGACTGCTGGTGTCTGTGCTCTCACTGTGCGCCTACGGACACACGGACATCTGACTGTAAAGTGAGTGTTTCTATTTTCTTTCTTATAACAACGTGGCATGTATGTACACAATTTGTTCAAGTATTATCACAAAGTTATTCCCGGTTAATACGTAACGTCAGCCAACTGAACTAACATTATCTTCTTTACTGCACAAACAGCTTGCAGTTGCATTGCTAACTACTGTGGCACACTAAACACAAAGACCATGTATCGCTAACTGTGTGCTCAATGTCTTGTAGACAATATCGCCTAACAGCCTTTCTGGAATGGGCCCTGCAAGGCGAGAGATTGGGTCGAGGCCATCGTGTCGTTTTACCCGCTGATGTGGTGCAGGCTATCCGACAGAAATATCCAGCTCCAGATGGCCAGTACTGCGGCACCGAGACGTTGAGGACGCTCAGGAGGAACTGTAACTGTCATTGTTATTTTTGTTGTTGTTGATATATTTCTGTAAATAAATGGTTCACATTCACGTTGTTGTAGTCCTTGGTAGTGTTAGTGGGAGTGGCTTGCGGAGCTGTGCATTGTGGGAGTTCTTCCATACAAATGCACCCTAAAGTCACTTTCTGTCTTTTCTCAGTCAAATAGGCACCAAATTCGAAATGTATGTTACATTTCGACTACATATATAACCCACTTTCAATAAATATTAATGTTTCCACGGGTGAAATGCTTCTTTAAGCAAACCAGCTGTTGGACATCAACAAGCCCTTACATTAAAGAACACAATCAGCTGAATCAGCAAACCTGGATGCACTGAAGAATTAGGTGCCCAATCTCCTCTCTGCCCTTGTTCTCCTGCAGCATTCAACCCTACTCTTTTTTTAGAGCCACATCTCCTCCAGATCTTCCTCTTCCAGCTTCTTCTTCAGAGAGCTCTGATCTCCTCGTTGGCCTGAAGTCATTTGCTGAAGCCTTTCTCTTTAAAGGAGTTCCATTTAGAAGGACTCCTCCTTCAGAGACAGCGACTTCTCAAGCCTCAGCTCATTGGCAGCGAGAGGCCTTCTGGAATCTGTCCTCCCAAGCTGCCAACTCCCTTCTGAATTTCTCATCTTTCAAAGCAAGCTTCATTCTGAAGCCAACCTCCTACAAAGAGAGCTCCCCTTCGAAGCGGCGTTCTTTAGCGGCCAGCTACTCTGTGAAGCTCTTCCTTTCTACAGCCAGCTCCTTTTTAAAGCTGTTCTCCAGCGCCGCACATTCTATTTTCTCCATGTCCTTGCTCCTACCAGCTTCTGTTATGGGTTTTTTTGTGGACCCTCTCTTTGTCTTTCAGCCTCTCCTCGAGGAGGCTCACCGGATTCTGCGGCATCTCCTGCATTTCTTTCTTCTCTGAGGCCTTTTCCAGTATTCTCTAATGATTTCCTTCAACCTCCAAGTAGCTATGTCCTCCTGAAAGTGCAGATCATACGTTTCAAAGCAGAGATCGTTAGACTTCTGCTTACATTTAGTAACACTAATTCAACATCCAAACCCAAATATTATCCACTATTTTTCTTTTTTTACAATAAATTTATTTTCTCCCAAAATGTTTTCATCATTGACCAAAACCAAATTGAAAGGTGATTTTCAACACATCTTCTCCAACAATTTGTAGATACTAATGAATAACACTCAGTTGCCAGTTTATTTCTATAAGTTAATGCAATAAAATTAATAAATTGTACCTTGAAGGTTATAATGTTAAGATTTTAACAATGACTTTTTTAGACAGGTGTTTATTCAACTGAAGGCTGTAGTTTCTGTTGCTGTTGTCTTACGCTGAAGGAAAGTCTTCAGTATTTGGTACACCACTTTCATCAACCAAGGATAGAGAAAATATTAGAAACACCAGTGTGACGACCCACTCCACCTTCTCTTCCTGTTCCTGGTTGTGTGGCCTGTTTTTGTTTTTCTGTGCAGGTACTTTGAGTGGGCGTGGCAGAGGGTCGTCAGCAATCAGACACACCTGAGGCCTGTGTGCCATGCGCCTTTTAAAAACCCTCTGGGAGCTCAGTGCTCTCTCTCCTCCCTGAGACAACAGTCTGGTTTTTGGGTTTGATGGTTTTATTGTGTTGCTGCATCTTATCACAACACAGCTCTCATACATTTTTTCACTCATGCACTCACTTACGCCACTGATCCTACTGATTTCATATAATACTGTTAATTTAAGTATTCTTTCCTTAATAAATAATTTGTTAATTGGCTTTGTTGTGTGCGTCTCCCTCCTTTGTTTGTCACGGCCGTATAGCCCAGTTTGTGACAACCAGTATAACCAAGTATAATGCCATATAGTTCAATACTGTAAGGCTATGTTGGGAAAGAAATGTTAAGACTGCTGCATTATGTTTTCTATCAAAAGTAAAATATCTTTAAATGTAATCTGCAACATTCACTGATAACATAATTCATTTGTTTTCCTACAATTGTCCTTCGTGGAAATTCATTTATGGTTTTGTTTAGGCAACCCATAGCACTTGGGCAGGTTAAATATGATTTTCTTTATTAAATACTGAAAAGGTCAGCAGTGACATGCACTGTTAAACCTGACAAAACATCTTAACCCTTACAAACTGTTCATATCCAATGCCTTCACAGTATTTGACCTGGTCCAAGAAAGTCCTCATAAAAAGTGTCTACCATATTTTGAACTACAGATCTATTTAGAATATGTAAATAGCCTATCTTACATTAATAAATTAATTATTAATCCTTACTTTATGATTTTAGGTAGCATGAGAGTGTATTTTTTAGGTTCTAGACCACTCGTTTTTGGAGAAAAGAAACACCTATATCACACTATATCATGTCCTATTTTACCTAAGACATGAAAACATAAAAGCCATAATGATTTAAATATATTTTATTAATAGTGAAAATGGCAAGAACATTCTGGAACTATTATAATATAACCACTTAATGGTCGCAACCATTGGACACTGTCCTTACTGCAATATCATTATGTTAATAACAATTATCAATATTAATTTAACATTAACATTCAAAACACAACACATAAAACAAACTAGTCAGCGCATTCAATGCAGTAGTAGGAAACTTTGCACTCTCAGCTTCTTCATCGTGGAAGATCTGATCAAGGACCTCTTGAAGAGTGAGTCTTGCTTTCATGACCTCTGTACCTCTGCCACTGAAAGGGCAGCTCTGGTACCTTTTATAATCTTATTAACCCCAAACACACACACACACACACACACACACACACACACACACACACACACACACTGATTTGATTCTAATTTGTCTATTTTTAGATTTTATTGTTACATTGCAGGTACAGGTACAGATACAGGTGCAAGTCTCTGACCTCTGTATGACCTTTGTTTCTTATCAAATCCAATCCAACTTTATTTGTTAAGCACTTTAAAAACAACCAAAGTTGACCAAAGTGCTGTACAGGAGAATAAATAAGACATCATATATGTAAACAGTGATGGTGATGATGAAGACCACTGTGAGGAATATAGACAGTGATGGCGATAACACTGGAAAGTTCCCGTGGCAGATAACACGGACGAAGTCCGACGGCGACGAGTCGCGGTGGTGTCCCTGTCGGCTCGAACCGTCTGGAAGCCGGGAATGGTGACGTTGGAGTTCAGTATCTGCTTAAAAATAGCAAAAAACACACTGAAAACACACTAAATCTACAACAATGATGGTGCTGCCATGACAGGCTGCCGTTGTCACCGGCGCCATTCCATGGAATGAATGAATTATGTGCACCATATATGACCACTCCTATGCTGTTTTACTATTTTACTGTTTCAAGGTTCCCCCATGGCCCCCCAAGTCCAGCAGGGGCTGGTCCCTGAGGGAACCTGGGTGAACAGTTATTGTGACAGTGTCAAGGTCCCCCCGAACTCTGTCACCACTGTCCCATAAAAATACACACAGACATACATACATATACAGTTTCACAGTTTCATGATTCCCTAGAACAACTATTTTCCTTGATTGGACCCACTCTAGTGGGTCTAAAATCCATCTCACTAGATCCAGGTTGAATTTGACCAGGAACAGCATCAATGTACAAACATTTGTAGCACCTGTGCAAAAATATACAATTTTAAAATATTTTCTTTTTGTGTATTTTGGGTCACTTTAGGAAAAGTAATCAAATTTCAGGTGAATGACATATAGGGTATTTTTACTGCTGTCAAATGTCAAAATGGGTCAATTTTGACCCGAACAGTATGTAAGGAGTAAGTTAACATAAATGAATCCCCCGAAAAAATTGGAGTCACTCATTTATATGAATGAATGTCATAGTTGCTGAACCTTTCACTACTTCTTGACAGTAGTACATGAGACAGATAATCTGTGAATAAAATCAGCACTCCCAATGTTATTTGCTGGAATCCAACAGGCCTGAACGAAAGCAACCAATCAGAGCCAAGAAAGATAGTTGATTATTGAGTCTCATTCCCACATTGTTAAATACAGGCGCATTGGGACCCTGGGAATGAGACACAATAAACTTCAAGCCTCCAACCCAAAGTGTCTTTCTATTTTTCTCGGCTCTGATTGGTTGTTTTCGTTCAGGCCCAGTAGAGTCTTGCTAATACCATTAGGAGTCCAGTTCTGTTTCCCGCTAACGGTAGATAGAGTTAGCAGCAGTTAATTAGCTCTTAGCTACTTCAGCTAGTAGTTAAAGCTATCTGGAAAAAAAGTGTCATTGGACTCAAAATACTCCCCTGAGTGCAGCAGGAGTCATCAACAACTTTCTATAATTTTTCAGGAAATTAATACCATTAAGAATACCCGAAAATACCTAAAATCTGACCAGATAGATGGGTGACATATAGCACAAGACCAGGCTTGGGGAGTAATTGATTACTTGTAACTGAGTAACATAATCAGAACACAAAAAAGGTAACTGTAATTCATTACAATTACAGAAAAATAGTACAAAGCAGTCAGATTACAGTTACATTTAGTAAAAACTGGGATTATTTAGCAGATTTACAATTTTAAAATACATCAGTTTCTTTAAAAATGCACTGAGCAGAGGACAAAGTCTTTTAATTTTCCTTTTAAAGATAACATTGGTCTGCTGTCTTATAAAATAGACTTACAGCAACATTTGTTTTTTTGTTTTTTTTCTTTAATTGCATATTTGCTGTTGAGGTAAAGGAAAGTAAACAAGTTACATTACTTACATTACTACTGTGATACTTGGATTAGGTTACTGACTACATTCAGTAAAAGTATCAGATTACATTTTTAAAGTAACCCTCCCAACCCTGCACAAGACATGAGATAAAAACACATTTTGCCTTGATGGGGACTTTAAGGGCCCCCAAAAAGTTTGTTGCGGCCCTGCTGAATCTACAAACGGTTCATCTCCGTGCTTATAGCTCATTGGCTGTCACTGTGAAATTGCATAATGAGAAGACTATCAGCTTGACTGCAGGTTTCCTGAAGGCATGCGCGATTGCAGCCTGATATTTGGAGTGAAGTTTTGGAGCAGTGTGGCAGTGAGGCAGTGAGGTGTGTGTGTGTGTGTGTGTGTGTGTGTGCGCGGTGTTTTCACATAAAGATGATAACTCTGCTGTTTACCAGCGTTGTAGCAGGACTGCTGGCTCTTCTCCTCTACCAGAGGGTGGCTTATCCCTTCTTCTGGCTGGATTTGATTTATTACTTGAAACTTCGGGGGTACAGGAAGACGTTGCATGCTCGTATGCAGCAAGGAATCATCACATACCTCGACTGTTTTCTCTACCAGGCGAGGAGGAACCCGAACAAACCCTTCATCATCTTCGAAAAGCAGACTCTGACATACCAGGATGTGGACAGGAGAAGTAACCAGTTTGCGAACGCGTTCCGGACGGAGGGTTCTCTGAAACAGGGAGACATTGTGGCTCTGTTGATGTTCAACGAACCGGATTTTATTTGTGTGTGGCTGGGGCTGTGCAAACTGGGCTGTGAAGTCGCCTTTCTCAACGTCAACATTAAAGCCAAATCTGTGCTCCACTGCTTTCAGACCTGTGGAGCCAAGACGCTAGTTGTTGGCGCAGGTACTGCACGTTTTCTCTCACGTTTTCACGCATTTTAACTTGAGTAAACTAGTGTTACTGCAGTCAGTCTTACTCACTCTGCTTTGAATGGAAGACCATTTCCGCCAGTCTGACGGGAAAAAAACCTCGGTAAGTCATTATAATTACTTAGTATCTCAAAGTAATTATTTTGAGATAATAAATGATTATTTTGAGAAAGTTTCTCATTATAATGACTTAAAGAATCCTTTTTTGTCCGTCACACTGGCGGGAATGGGCTTCCATAGATCCCTTCTGAGTCATTTGAAAAAAACCTCAGTTCTTTTATAGCCACTCCCCTCTCTCACACACACACACACACACACACACACACACTATAATTCACATTAGTAAGTATGTTGTCATTATAACACCCACAGTAGGCTATAATATAGCCTACAGGTACAGTTCAAAAAATTGGAATATCATGAAAAAGTTCAATATATCATTTCAGAAAATGAAACTCATATTATATAGATTCATTATACATAGTGAAATATTTCAAGCCTGTATTTCTTGTAATTTTGATGATTATGGCATACAGATAAAGAAAACCCAAAACTCAGTGTCTCAGAAAATTATTATATTACATAAAATCAATAAAAAAAAAGGATATTTTGAGCACAAATGTCAGGCTTCTGAAAAGTTTGTTCATTTCTATGCACTCAATACTTGGTTGGGCCTCCTTTTGCATGAAGTACTGCATCAATGTGGCGTGGCATGGAGGTGAGGTGTAATGGTAAATGGTAAATGGACCTGTACTTGTATAGCGCTTTTCTAGTCTTCCGACCACTCAAAGCCTTTTTACACTATGTGAGACATTCACCCATTCAAACACTGATGTACGGCATCAGGAGCAATTTGGGGTTCAGTATCTTGCTCAAGGATACTGCAACATGTGGCACCAGGAGCCGGGGATCAAACCCACAACCTTCCGATTAAGGAACGACCCGCTCGGCCTCTGAGCCACAGCCAACATATCCATAAAGCTTGTTAGCAGAAGGAAGCATGAAGTGCTCTAAAATGTCCTGGTAGATGGCTGCATTGACTTTGGACTTGATAAAACACAGTGGACCAACACCAGCAGGTGACATGGCTCCCCAAATCATTACTGACATGGAAACTTCACACTGGACTTCAAGCAACGTGGATTCTGTGCCTCTCCACTCTTCCTCCAGACTCTGGGACCTTGATTTCCAAATGACATGCAAACTTCACTTTCATCTGAAAAGAGGACATTGGACCACTGAGCAAAAGTCCAGTTCTTTTTCTCCTTAGTCCAGGTAAGACGCTTCTGACGTTGTCTTCGGGTTCAGGAGTGGTTTGACTTGAGGAATGCGACATTTGTAGCTGATGTCAAGGATTCGTCTGTGCATAGTGGCTCCTGATGCACTCCAGCCTCTCAAGGCTGCGGTTATCCCTGTTGCTGGTGCACCTTTTCCTACCACACTTTTTCCTTCAACTTAACTTTCTATGATTATGCTTGGATACAGCACTCTGAACAGCCAGCTTCTTTAGCAATGACCTTTTGTGGCTTACCCTCCTTATGGAGGGTGTCAATGACTGTCTTCTGGACATCTGTCAAGTCAGCAGTCTTCCCCATGATTGTGTAGCCTACTGACCCAGACTGAGAGACTATTTAAAGTCTCAGCAGGTGTTTTGAGTTAATTAGCTGATTAGGGTGTGACACCATGCGTTTCCAATATTGAACTTTTTCACGATATTCTAATTTTCTGAGACACTGAGTTTTGGGTTTTCATTATCTGTAAGCCATAATCATCAACATTACAAGAAATACAGGCTTGAAATATTTCACTCTATGTGTAATGAATCTATATAATATATGAGTTTCACTTTCTGAAACGATATTGAACTTTTTCACGATCTTCTAATTTCTTGAGCTGTACCTGTACATTGCCCTTGTAGGGCTGCAAAACTACTCTTTGGGGCCTTTCCACCCTTCCCACTGTATGGACAGTTATGTTTTCTTATGGAAAGGGCAAATGTACAATTTATTTAAATACACTTTTGATGAATACATCCAAAAGGAAACTTAAAGCAGCATTAAGTAATTTTGATAAAATTAACTTTTTGACATTTTTGCTCATATTTCTCATAAACTACTGCCAGGATATAGTGAAAGTTTCAGCAAATATGACAAAAATCTATTTGATAAAAGTTACCTACTGCAGCTTTAAAGGTCCAGTGTGTAACATTTAGGAGGATCTATTGTCAGAAATGTATGAATGAATATAATATTTATAGGTATGACTTTATTAGTGTCACATCACCTGAATATAGCAATTGTTATGTTTTTGTTACCTTAGAATTCAAGGTAATAAAAACTGTAGAGTTCAAATTGCCGGCCTGGTGGCCATTACCAATCCACCATCCCCTCCCTCCGGCCCGCAACATAATGTCAGAAATATAATATTGTCCACCCTGCAAAAAAAATATATTTTTTTAGTTGTTTCATATCAATATAAACTACCCCATTCATATAAACTTAAAATACAAATATAATTCTATTTTTAAAAATGTATTTCGTTTGGCTCAAAAGTGCCTGAAAATGACATGGAGCAATATAGGATATAATAATACAGAGTGAAATGTGTATATGGCTATGGGGGAAGAAGTAGTTTCACAGTGTAAAACATCCTACATTCAATTCAATTCAATTTTATTTGTATAGCGCCAATTCATAACAGAAGTTATCTCAGGAGACATTTCAAATAGAGCAGGTCTAGACCGAACTCTTTATAACATTATTTACAGAGACCCAACAGTACCACCATGAGCAAGCACTTGGCGACAAGGGCAAGGAAAAACTGCCTGTTAAAAGGCAGAAACCTAGGACAGATCCTTCGGCTCTAGGTGGGTGGTCGTCTGTCTTGACCAGTTGGGGTGAGAGAGAGAGAGAGAGAGAGAGAGAGAGAGAGAGAGAGAGAGAGAGAGAGAGAGAGAGAGAGAGAGAGAGAGAGAGAGAGAGAGAGAGAGAGAGAGAGACAGACAGACAGACAGACAGACAGACAGACAGACAGACAGACAGACAGACAGACAGACAGACAGACAGACAGACAGACAGACAGACAGACAGACAGACAGCAACAACAGTATTAGCAATGGCAATCTAGCAGGACCATGGCAGGAGGCTCCACCAGGATCGACAAGAACCTGCGAGACGAGAAAGCACATTCAAAATCTTACTTTAGTGAAAGCACAGAAATATTGTCAGTAAAATGCACCCAAGGTATCAAAAGTACTACTAAGAAATATAATTTCCACATTTCAGACTTTTGTATTTGTTGCATCATTGTAGATTAAATATCTTAAGAAATTAAAATGGGGGTCTTAAACTTGACTTCTATAATTCCTTGAGTTGTTGGACTAAACTCATTTTATATAAATATTATTTGTGTAATATATTATACACAATATTATCAGTGGATTATCAGGAGATTGCACCTGTTGTAACATTATCTGTCCTTTATTGTACAGTAAAAGTCAACATTTTTCAAGTCAAGTCTGATTGAAGTTTACAAGCCTGAGGATGCTATCAGTCGTGTAGATAGTTGACAAGTAGAGAGCAAAGTACCATGCCGTGACTTCTCCCACCAAGAAGCACATCCATGTGTTTGAATGGTATGCAGCTCTGAATCTAAGGGATATGATTGTATTGAATTTGTACCTACATTTTTTCATTGTCTATAAATGATCACAGCAAGACGCAGCTGTCACGTGCTGCTCAAGCGGTCTATCGGAACGAGGTGTCAGAGTACAATTTGTCTGCACCAAAAGTACAGCCTTCTTAGTGTAGAATGAACAGCCTTTTGTGATACCAGGTATTATGCAAAAATGTTTAATACACCGGTCCACTTTGGAAGTGTCACATTTTGCCTCGCCTAGGTATGGCAGTGTCATGTTTTCAACAAGTGCTCATGCTATGGTCAAATTAGCAATAATAAATATGTTACATCGGTTACACTTTCGAAAAAAGCTCTCCTCTGTAAAAGTCCTGTCCTCCAAGCGCAGACTCTGTCGCTCTTTATACTTCTGCTGGTTCTGCACTTTATGCGTTTAGGCGAGGCAAAACCTGACACAGCATCCTCTAGTGGATTGGCAGGTCTGTTACACGCTTTGGCGTGAAGCTGGGCTGCTTTGTACATGTTTGTTTACTGGCTTTGGTTCTGTCTGATAAAGCATCAGCAAGATAACCCACTGCGTGTGTTTTTTCAGATTTGGTACATTTGGTGGAGGAAGTGCCGCCAGATCTGAAGGACAACATAGCCATGTGGGTGGTGGATCACATGTCACCTTCTGAGGAGTTCAGAAGTTTACTGGATAAGGTGGAACACATGTCTGGAGAAACCTTAAGTGACCTTCCTAACGTTGACATCATGTCAAACTTTCTCTTCATTTTTACTTCAGGCACTACAGGTACTGCAGGAGCACTGTGTTCTTCAGTTATTATACAGTCTACAGGTGGACAGCCACCTTACACTGCACAACATTCCCATCTGAATGGCTCTAGTAGAGAGACATTATTGTCCTCAATTCATATAAGATAGATAGATAGATAGATAGATAGATAGATAGATAGATAGATAGAAATACTTTATTTATCCCCGAAGGGAAATTATGAATATATCATATATAGGCCAAAATGTAGTCCAGTATATTGTCCAGTTAATACATTTTCACGGTTATGTGATCCTTGTTAAGATGAAACTCTACTAATTTGTTATGTATATATTGCCATCAGCCATACAACTATGAAGGACTTGAACAGAAAAAGCAAATAAGATAAACTCAGATTAACTATGGGCCTGTCCTCACGAATACGTTTTTCTCAAATCTGGATAAATACTTTATCGTATCGGCTTCGCGTCCAGACGGATAAGTCGTTTTCGGGGTGTGGAAACGGGTCCCAGAGTGGGAAAATCCGAAAACAGCGGTTTGCCCGGAGTTGTCTGGACGGCGAAAACGGATTAGCCCCACCTCTCTAGCCTTTAACCTCAGCCGCCGCCGCTAGAGCATCATAACAACAATGGCGGACTACTACTACTTGTTTGTAAACTTCGCATGCTGCATGGCTTCTCTTCCGGTTTTCCTGTATTGGTGTGGCGGCGTCACAGCGCCACATACAGGCCTGGCATATGTACTACAGCGTTTTGGGTCGTTTCAGTGAATCCGTGTGGACGCAGATATTTCTGGAAACGACGCCATGTTTACAGAGATTTTTTTCGAAAAGACATCGTATTGGGTGAAGCCCCGTGTTCGTGAGGACAGGCCCTAAGATTAGCTCAGTTCAGTAACAAAGACCCCCTCATTTGAGATCAGAATATAGAAATAAGTAAAATGGAAAGTAAAAAGTAAAATGGAAAGTAAAAAGGAGAATTAATGCAAAGGAGAATAAATACAGAAGCAAATTAAAACAGAAGTATCAAATTGTCACAATTATAAATTAATTCATGCCTTATTTATTTTTTATATTATTTATTTTTTGATTTTGGCAGTTTCAGTCCTCCATAGTTTTGATACTCCATATACACTCATTAAAACTAGCGGTACTCCACCAAGTCTTGGAGTAGTAATGGAATCACAAAACCAGTTCAGAGATTAAAATGTCATAGACAAGACACCCAGTAACTTGCTTGGAAATATACTGCATAGACCATTTCTGCTGTGGTCAAGTGTCATTCTGTTGCAGGTCTGTCCAAGGCAGCCCGTGTAGGTCATCTGAAAGCCATTGTGAGCATGGCCTTCTTTGAAATGTGTGGAGCCACAGCTGATGACATCATCTACATCACCCTTCCTCTTTATCACATGTCTGCTTCTTTGTTAGGGGTTGGAGGATGCATACACCTTGGTAAGAACAGATGTATTTCAATCAGTTTAACCTCAGCCTTTGGAGTACATGCTTTAAGGGCACTTACTTTACCCCCGGTGTCCACCAGACGCACTGTGTCAATTTCTACCTCTGCCTAAAGACAGAAAACAGAGCAGCAAGCAAAGCAGAGGGACCATCGCACAATTTCATTGAAAATGGATATGAAATTAATATTTAACAGGGCAGTGGTTATTTTGAGAGTCGAGATGTGAGGGAATTTGGATGCTTTAACAAGTGGAGCTTTGTAAATGAATAACAGTTTTTTTTGTTTGTTCTTGGAAGTTTCCAAATAATCTCCCAATATATAATTTCCAAGAAGTGTGGAAAGAATTCTTGACGAACAACAATTGATCTGTTCAGGTAGAACTTGGCATTGCCTGCCCAAAGGCCTATTCAGACTGAATTAGACAATGCTGCAGAAACACTCCTCCAATTCATTTTGAATTGGGGTAATGCATTTTAGACATTGACAGGGGGGCCAGTTCACAGGGGGGCCAGAAGTTGAAACAGAATCAACTTTTGAAGAATCGCAACCCGACGTCATGCTGCGTTGGCCAGTCCAGCAATTAGACTGGTCAAACTGCTCCACAGTTGGCCTAAATATCTCTGATGACTTGAGAATGATAGTCAACAATCAAACTGAGTTCAACTGTACTTAGAACCGAATACATAGCCACTGATTTAAAAGCACACAAACAGGACAATACAGCTGTCAGTAAAGTTACTGAATGCTGCAAAAGTTTCTGACAGCTGCAACGCCTGATTTGGTCTGAATACGGCCTAAAAAACGTAACGACAAAACTCTAGAAAGTCACTGCGCCTGGCTGGTCTTGGCCAACAAATAATTCCAGCATTTAACCCCCTTAAAGCCATACACTGCTATTTTATATATCTGTATGTGTACACATTCAACAAACAAGATACAATATATTTATATGTGTATTTGTGAACTTTGGAAAGAGCCAGGCTAGTTGTTTTCCCCCAGCTTCCAGTCTTTATGGTAAGCTAGGCTAACCACAGCCTGATTCCAGCTGAACACAAAGTCATCAGAGAGGTATACATTTTCTCATCTCACTCTGGGAAAGAAGGAAATTAGTAGTATTTTCTAAAATGTTGAACTATACAATACCTTATAGGAGTATATCTGTAAAATATCTTTAGTTTCTTAATTGGATATCATGCCCCTTTCCCTGATGAGCCATTTGTAGTATTAGGCCTTCCTATGAGAAAAACTCTATCTGTGCAGCTTCAAGGGTTGCTTCCTTTAAAAATGTTTTAGTTGGTTGGAATTACACCTAGCTGTCTTTGCCCACCGAGCCAGCAGTTTAGAGTGTGGCAGCATGACAAACATACACAATTCCTGGAAGATTTACCATTTATGTTCAGTACATTATAAAGTCAGAGGCTGGAGAAAACCATCATGAAGACGGAAATCCTTTTTATAGCCCTTTAAGGAATTTTCACTTCCTCACAAACCAAGGCTGAAACAAAGTGGAGGAAATTTCTCACTACAGCTCCAGTACTAACATTTGTACTAACATTGTTAGACATGTAGTACTTAAACATCTGAGTTTTTAAGTGTTATGTTGTCTTACACTACTTACTGTTTGCCCTGTCTCTCTGTTTTCCCCTTTGGATCACAGGTGCAACATGTGTGTTAAAAAAGAAATTTTCTGCCAGTCAGTTTTGGAAGGACTGTGTGAAACACAATGTGACTGTGGTGCAGTACATAGGAGAGCTCTGTCGATACCTGGTCAACCACCCCACGGTAAGATTTCATCCAAAATCATAACGTTTGACCAGAATGTCCCAGACCCTCTGCACAAGCCAGTACATTAGCATATTTCCTTTAAAAGGTTAAATGCCTAATTATGCCTCCAGGTTCCAGAGGAGAAAGCTCACAGAGTCCGGCTGGCAGCAGGAAGTGGTCTCAGGTCAGATGTTTGGATGGAGTTTGTCAATCGCTTTGGTAGGATCAAGATTAGAGAGGGTTATGGCCTGACTGAGGCCAGCATCGGCTTCCTCAACTACACCGATGAGGTTGGACCCATTGGGAGGGCGAGTTATTTCAACAAGGTAAAAGAGCTTCAAAGTCGGTTAATAATTCACTGTGGGTTTGTCATATTATACATTTATTCATTGTTAAAGTAATAAATACGGATTAAATGTCAATGACGTGATATCCCCTTTTTTCTGCCAGAAGCTGTCATAAATTTACTTTTAATCCAGTTTTAAAGATGCAGGTACATTTTTAGAAAAACTAATTTATTTCATATTTGCTGAAACTTTCACTATATCCTGACAGTAGTGTATGAGACAGATATTCTGGGGAAAATCAGGTTCCTCTGGCTTCTCCTAGTGCTCCTATTGGCATTTGCAAGAATCCACCGGGCCTGAATGAAAACAACCAATCAGAACCAAGAAATTACGTACATATTGTATGTTTAAAGGGTGCAAATATAAAATGTACAATAACTAAGTATAAGTGTAAAATGTACAATGAGTAGAATGACAACAGAGATATAAAGTTACATTATAGGGGAACACTATAAAAAGCAAGTACAAATATTTCCAAATGTCCTAAATTTATCAGAAACAAATGATGAATATCTCAAATATTTTAAATATATAGGCCTGTAATGGCATATGGATGTCGTAAGATGACATTTATGTAAATAAATGGGACTGTATGGTATATAACAATGATTTAGTGATTTTGTTTATTGAAAATGAGCCCGAGTAATAATGATAATATAAATAGTCAGATGCTAACTGCTAAGGCAAATCAAGTCACAACTATTATCATTTCATCTTTTTCAGCTTTCAATGCCCTTTGAGCTCTTGAGTTATGATCCGCAGACATACGAGCCGGTCCGAACAGACTCTGGAAGATGCATACGAGCACAAATAGGTGAATCAATCACATTAAACATGAAAGTCATTCAGTCTGTTAGTACACAGCTGTATGTACAGAGTACAGAGGAGGAGCTCCACTGAATGTACTCCTGTTTCTGTGCACAGGAGAGGCAGGGATCCTGGTAGCTCCTCTGACAGCTATGAACCAGTTCATGGGCTATGCTGGGAACAAGGTCCAATCTGAGAAGAAGCTGCTTAGGGATGTGTTTGAAACTGGAGACGTCTATTTCAACACTGGAGACCTCCTGTTCCATGATTACAGGGACTTTCTTTACTTCCGTGACCGCATCGGAGACACCTTCAGGTACATCACTACTAAAGTATTAATGTTACAGTAGGCAAGTTTGTTGAGAATGAGAACACACAATTGAAATGTTTTGTTAGTGTTGAATAGAAACCCTTCACCAAAGTTATCTAATGACCAAAATCCACAGGGCTGCTGGACAATGACAGTGGAGCGTGTCTCTCCGCTTTGCTCCACGAGAATGACCGGTTGGTCTATTTTTGACAGAAGCCGCAACCCACCCACATAAAGCAGCACAGAGCAGTTTGCACTGCAGAGAATCCAGTCAATTTTCAAATTAAAATACCCAATGTAGACTCTAGGTCTAATTTTACGCAAAATCAAAAGTATAAAACACTAAACACAATAAAAAAGGTAATAGGTTGAACTACCTATTTACCCATGGTAGAAGCACTAATGCTCTCTGTTCCGCTGCTCCTCTGATCTGAGGACGTGCAGATGGTTGAACCAAACAGCGCTACAGGCGCAATATCATGAAGCCGTGCCCGGAGGATTTTCAACAACAGGGTTGGGAGAAAAATTGTTTTCTTAGATGAATCATAAATTTCGCTTGAACGATAATTTCTCAATGCTGTCTGTCTGTATTCTCAACAATCTTAATAGGCTTTATTTTGACATATTCATTGTTTTCTTGTCTCTGATGCTTGGCCATTGTACAGTTATATTATATACACATATATGTACATATAGTGCCAATTCATAACAGAAGTTGTCTCAGGACACTTTTCAAATAGAGCAGGTCTAGACCGAACTCCTTATAACATTATTTACAGAGACCCAACAGTACCACCATGAGCAAGACCTTGGTGATAAGGGCAAGGAAAAACTTCCCTTTAAGAGGCAATGCCTTGGACAGACCCCAGCTCTAGGTAGGTGGTCGTCTGCCTCAACCAGTTGGGATGAGAGAGAGAGAGAGTCAGAGAGAGAGAGAGAGGTAACGACAGAAGGACAGAGACAGAGACAAATGTACGCAGCAACAACAGTAGCAACAACTACAGTAATAGTAGTAGTAATTGTAGATGATGACGACGACGACAACAACATTTGAACATAAAAAATGACACATTGACCTAATGGTAATAAGGTCACACGGTTAATACTGCCAACGATATAAGGCTATTTTTTATTGATGTCATCCCACATGACAAAACAGATGGTCTGTCTTAAAGGTGAGGTCGGTCATTCTGGAGAAATTTAAATTGTAGAGTAGGGGTGTAAGCAAATCTAAAAAAATATTGTATCATGATATTTGATTTTGTTATATTGTATCAATTCTTACTGTATCATTTTTGTGGTTAGACCCTCAACATCTAGGTAGTAGTGTTTTAAACGTTAACTAAGGGCTATGATGTTGAATGATACAGCGACTATACTGTGACAGTTTCCCTGAAATTTAATGTTTTTAATTAAATCACAATATATCACAATTTAGCACAATATTTTAAATCGAACCCCTGTATCATGATACGTATCGCAGATTCTTGCCAATACACAGCCCTATTGTTGAGTCTCATGTGTATAGTATCCAATGGGAAGCTTAGAGGAATCAGCTGATGTATGTTTATGACTAGCTGTGATCGTATGATATAGCTGTAACTGAAAGCTAAGCCTGACTTCGTGCCCTGCCTGAACTAACGCTATGCTCAATTTGTGCTCCCAGGTCGTCAAATATTCTGTATTTGATGCCCTGGGAATAAGACTCGAGGCCAAAGAATGTGAATGAGCAAAGTAGTCCAAAACAGCTAAAAGAGAGTGAATTTTGAACTTAAATTAGCCAGGTTGTGAGAGACTCCAAATAAATGATCATTCATTTCATTTCATGTTGTTCTTTATAACTGCTGGATGTGTACTTACTGCAGCTTTTATCTTACAGGTGGAAAGGAGAGAATGTTTCTACCACAGAGGTGTCAGAGGTTTTAGGTCTTGTTGATTTTATCCAGGAGGCCAACATCTATGGAGTCACTATACCAGGTTTGTGAAATCTAAGTGTTATGGCCCTTTCAGACACAACCAGGGGTGTTTCCAGACTGCACAAGAGGGGCAGAACCCATGTTCATTCAGATATCTTGAGGTTAGAGGTCAAGGGTTCCCTTTAAAAACAGCCATTCCAGTTTTTCCATTGCCAAAATTAGCCTGATTTTGGAGCGTTATTTATGCCCTTACCAGATAATCTGTGAATAAATCAGGTTCCTCTGGCTCCTCCTAGTGCTCCTAAGGGTATTTGCAAGAATCCACGGGGCCTGAACAAAACAACCAATTAGACCCAAGAAAGAAAGTTGACTCCTGAGTAAAAAGACTGACTTTGGGTTGTTGGATTGAAGCTTTGGGACCCAAAGTGTTGGTATTTTTTGGCAACCTGGGATCAAATTCTCAATATATAGAGCAATCCATCCAAAACCTGGTTTCTCAGAAGCAAAGAAGCCTGTTGTAGGGTACAGACTCCAGTGTTACCATGTTGAGACCCATTCTTTTACAGTGGGGGTAAATACTTCCAGAACCTGCAGCTCTTTTCAATTTGTAACTGTATTGCATGTTGCACCTCAGGGCCTCTGTAGTCGTATGTGGTTAGTTTTTCACTCAGTTGTCACACTGACCTTTTCCAATCTGTGTATGCAGGATATGAAGGTCGAGCAGGTATGGCTGCTGTCGTCTTAAAACAGGATCACCAGTTAAATGGAACAAAACTCTACAACCATTTAGTGAAAACACTTCCTGCATATGCCTGGCCGTGGTTTCTCAGAGTACAGGTAAGTCATACCTGCATGACTTGACTTACCTATCTACCTCATTACCGTCAGTATGTATTTTTAAAGTTCTTTTGTTCATCTGTATCCCCGCCTGTGTGTTCAGACCTCTCTAGATGTGACCGAGACATTCAAGCAGCAGAAGGTGAAGCTGGTTCAGGAAGGTTTTAATCCAGACGTCACTAAGGATCCTCTGTATTTCTTGGACCTCTCTCAGAAGGACTATATCCTCCTGACTGCAGCTCTATATGAAGACATTGTGTCAGGAAAGATACATTTGTAAAGATAGTCCAGGCTGTGGCCACATTTAAATTTTTCTGGTTTGGATCAGTGCCACAGTGAGGGGTTCCATACAAAGCTGTATCTACCCCTTCTTACAGTTTGTAAATGTCAACCAGTTGTCAGCAACCAACAACTAATTCTTCTCCCTCACACTGAATATTTTTTATCAGCCTGAAGAGGAAAAATTGTCCCATAATTTACAGGAAAAAAACTCAAAACTCAAAATGTTTTAAACATTTGTCAGCCCCTCGGTGTGTATGGTCTGTGTGTGCAGCCCAACCACGATTAAGTCATGACAATCCACCACCTTAAGCATCAGCTGTTCAAAAATTCTATTTAGTATATTGTTTATAAATAATGAAAGAGAGTTTAAATTTCCAACAATTTGACTACACTTGCATAAGAAGATTATTATTAGTAACTTATAGTGAAAATAGTGGCCAGAGCCTGTATTTACCCCAACTTCCTTTACCTTTATTAGAAACAGAATTATATCAAAGACAGGTCTTTATTTCTTTATTTTCCCTGTTTTCTAAGTATATTCAATCATATTTTAATTAGAAGCCTTCCTTTGTCCCAGTCTGCTGTTTTACTCAATAATTATTCTTCATTATCATGTCTATTTGTCAATTTTCACAGCAACACAGGGTGTCAAATACTGACACTAGGAATGAGACTCAACAATCAGCTATCTTCAAGCCACCAGCCCAAAGTGTGTTTATATCTTTCTTCAACCTGATTATTTTCAGATTATCTGTTTGTCTGTGTCGCTACCATATATGCAAGGTATGCAGTTGCATAGGGGGCTGCAGCAGTCCATGGCCCATGACTGACCATGCATATCTGCCCCGTTGCTATAATCTTGATTGACATGAGCTGAACCTTCATCATATGCAGCCAATCAGTTTACATGTGTTCGCAGTAGATCTTTATAGTAGACAGTGAGCAAAGGTCACTGACTTACTCCATGGTGTCTCTGTCTCACACTTGATGTCATTCACATTCAATAGCAATACAATAACATTAAACACTTTTACATACAAACATTTTATTGGCTCATACCTCTACAGTATGTACATTTATGTTGTGTTTATGTGTTTTTAATGCCTGTGTGCACACATGAAACATTTTGTCAGTAATATCAATGTGGTGCGCCGTCACTGATCATAATTTAAATCATAAATGTGTCATTGTACGCCCCCTTACAAATAGGATCATGGTTTCATATGTGTGAAGGTGAATTTTAATTTCTTATGGTGCTCCGACACCAATTTGGTCAAGCAGGCTAGTCTATCACTGACTGTCTTAGCCTTGCATTGATTTTTATTTTTTACTTTTAATTGAGAATTGATGTTATTTACCTTTTCAATTGCTATGGGAAATTGGGTTTTCTTAGAAGAATGGGATGGACACATTTATATTTGTTAAGTATAAAGTAGCAAGTGCAAATTATACCATAGTATAAAAAATAAACAGTACTGAAAATGTAATTGTTCTTCTCATGGCGACAGTCTTCTGTGCACAACTTTAATGCATAATATAAAATTCACTGTACATTTAATAACTTTGTAAAGCAAAAATGTAAGGGGAAATCAGAAACGTAAATACAGTCCAACCTTTAGTCTGTTTTTTTAAAAGAATGTAAAACAAAAACAACATTTCAATGCTCTTAGATTGTTCAAATTTGACCAAAATTGCTGTAAACCATCTAGAGATCTGAGAGGATGAAAATGTACAGGAACATTTCTGTTTGTTTTTTAAAATAAAGCCATGGATGTACAAATGTTGATAAGGTAAATGTCATGAATTTATCTCTGTTGGTAAGTTTTAGAAATGTGCTCATTTTATAACATCTTAAGAAATAATGGATAGGTCATTCAACTAATTGGATGTGAATATTTCACACTACTGAATATATTTTTTATCAGATTTTTACTGCAGTTCAGTTTTTGTGATACATTGACAAGTTTTGAAATTTAGTTCATTATCCTATTATTTCTTTTCATGAATGAGATTGAGTTTTTTCCTAAAGTTGGTGGCACTATTGTAACCATCAGTGAAACTGGCATAGCACTTAGCGCCAGTGACAATTGCTGGATTGTATGAACTTCAAATGTTGACAAAAATAACCTCTTATTAATGCATTTTTGTCTGTAAAATGTGGATTCTCTACCGCATACCATTTCCCTAAGTGAACAGAAAGTCTTCATAACTCTCACAAACTGTAATATCTTTGACGTGTTTCTGATTCATTAAAGCTGCAGTAGGTAACTTTTATAAGAATAACTTTTTGTCATATTCTCGTTCAAACTTTCCCTATATCCTGACAGTACATGGGAAAAAATAATATTCATCACCTGAATTTTAAAAGATTATCGGTCTCATGTACTACTGTCAGGATACAGTAAACGTTTTCAGAAAATATGACAAATAATTTTTGTAAAAATGACCTCCTGCAACTTTAAGTCAAGATCAGAATGGGGTACTACGTTGTGGCTTTCAGGAAGCAGAGCCACATGATGTGACACAGTGTTTGGAAAGGGTAAGATAATAATTGAGTCCAGCTGCCCCTATCTTCGCTCTTCTAGATGTACCGTGGTCTGGATGACAGCATCTTCACAAACACTTAAATGTTCTATCTTTACTTAAACACTACTTTTAGGGTAAACTGACAGTCAATATTAATAGCCAGAAGTTCACATGTATTTAAGTTAAGAGAAATCTATATCTGTATGAACAAATTAAGAATTCCTTTCAAAAAAATCTCATTAGACTGCTGGTGCATTTGTGAGATATGATGCTGAAAAATGCACAAACTACTAGTCTGGGGGAACTGTTTGGTCACGTGGTTTCACGAAGTGTGTTCGGGCGCTCCCGCTAACGTCACGGCCGAGTCGACGTGGCAGGTATATACGTAGAATGTCCGCTGCTGCGGCCATGTTGGTACAGGGGAGCCTGTAGGGAATTCATTTCCCTTCAATTTTCAACCGATTTTCAATCAGTTTGCTTTGTAACAATGCTAGAGTTTTATTTTTGATACAAGATACCTGGTTAAATGAAAAATTCTGCTGTTACACTTTATCTAATAAAGATAGTAACAGTAACAGTTCTATAGCCTAATATTAAAACTTAACTTACCCCATATATATATATATATATATATATATATATATATATATATATATATAAGTGTTATTACTGCTGTACAATGGTCATTATATAATTTTGTTAATTATTCTGAAAATAAAAAAGACAGTCCTGTTACAAGAAACACAAAGTTAAATGATTAATTGCATTACTGACAGGCTTCACAATTTAGTTGTAATACAATTTTTGGTTGGGATATTCACATTTTGCTTATTCACATTTAAGGTCACACATTCAATTCAATGCAATTCAATTCAATTCAATGCAATTCAATTCAATGCAATTCAAATCAAATCAATTATGTACAAAAATAGATATGCAGTGTATCTGCAGGGTTGTGCAGAGTGTAACAGTCACAGTTTGTTGTACCAATCTTACAGTTTTGTACAACTAGCTGTAATATCATATAAATCTAGAGAAAGATTGATAAATATAAGTTTTAGCACACTGATACTGATATGTAAATGAGTAACCTTAATTTTGCTTAAAATAAAGATTGTATTATTGTGATATATCAAATTCAGTTCCTTTGTAACAGTAAAATGTTGTAAAATAACATAAGCATTTATTTTGTTAGGTAAGAACATCCCAGATCAGCACTTAAAGGATCAGAGTGTAGGATTTAGTAACATATAGTAAATATATATATATATCTATATGTGCTGTCAATGATCTGAGCAGGCCACCACCCGCCGCAAGATGGCGGCGGTAGAGACGCTTTTCTCAAGCTCCAACAAACCATACTGTACAGATCTATGACGTGGCGTTACAGACGTCATCAAAGTAGGTCGGTGGTTTATTCATGGGTGTGCAGAGACGTAGCTAGTCCAGCTAGCAGGTTAGTAGTGAAGCTGTTTGTTGTTTTATCTCAATAGAGAGACACATAACGTTATCATTCACTGTTGCTTATTTCCTGTAGAGCTTTATAAAACTGTCCACGTCACTCTCTCCATGTTCTTGTTTCTGGAGCTCGAGCTCAGTGTGTCTGTACACGTGTACAGCTGAGCTGTTGTGTGTTTAATGAAGCTAGCATTTGGATGTTTCGTCGCTTTAAAACAATACTGACGCGTTACTTTATTAGTTTAACTCTATTAGATAAGCTTACCGTAGTTTTTACACAAGGCGGGATTGACCCGATATAAGTCGAAAGTATAAGCGCTGTGTTGTGTTGTCCTTTACAAGGCTGAACAAAACGACTCAACGCCATTAGAATGGGCTTAATGGTGTAATAGACGCACAATAGTTCATCGTTGCGATGTTAAAGCGGAGTATCCGTGTTCCAGTTCACTGTATAGTCAGTGCAGAACTCTTTATACTTTGATACAGCCTGTAAGTAAGACTGATCTCTGTTCTCAGCTCTGTTCTAACCTAATGTAAGTGACATCACTATTTTTAACACAGCAACAACAAACAACACTTCTGAATCTTCAAATGTTTATTTTTTATTTTTATCAAACATACTTTGGCTTTCATAAAATATAAAGCCTATCAGTTGTTTTGCAAAAGAAATTAAAATAAATGATCATGTATCGTAATTTATAATTGGTGATAGACTGATTAATCGGGCTGATTATTTTTCATTTTGAGATAATCGGCTACTTTTGAAAGATGTTAGTGCTTTGTACGTTTTGGGAAGGTGGGGAAAAAGTTGGTGTCAAGCACTGTACTAAAACTGTCATGCCTCCTGCTGTAAACATATGCATGTGTTTCCTATAGAACAGAATAAAAGAATACATCATCTTTCTTTGTTTTGATATAGGCATGATACACCTATTCGCCATAATATTCTGACCACACGGGCACCCTGGTGGTCAGAATGTTCTGCAGCCCCATACCAACAAACTGCTCTGCACTGTGTGTTCTGACACCTTTCTATCAGAACCAGCATTAACTGTTTCAGCAGTTTGAGCTACAGTAGCTCGTCTGTTGGATCGGACCAAATGGGCCAGCCTTCACTCCCCACGTACATCAATGAGCCTTAGCCCCCCATGACCCTGTCTCTGGTTCTTTTCCTTCCTTGGACCTCTTTTGATAGGTACCACTGCAGACCGGGAACACCCCACAAGAGCTACAGTTTTAGGGATCCTCTGACCCAGTTGTCTAGCTATCACAATGTGGCCCTTGTCAAAGTCGCTCAAATCCTCACACTGCCCATTTTTCCTGCTTCTAACATCAACTTTGAGGACAAAATGTTTACTTGCTGCCTGATATATCCCACCCACTGACAGGAGCCATGGTAACCAGATAATCAGTGTTATTCACTTCACCTGTCAGTGCTCACAATGTTATGACTGATTGGTCCATATCGTACATCTCTCTAAAGACTAACTATAATTTGATTAAAAAAACATGAATTTCCCTTTATGGACTGATCATTTATCTGCCCTGATTAATTATTGTGCATCCCTAGGAATTACAATAACGAAATGATTCACAATTAGTGGGAATGACCATTTTTGCCTCACAGTTTAAAAGAAATCATGCTGATGTGACATTTGTTTTGGTTTGTACCAAATTTCTTACATCTCGAGAACAAGATTTGTAGGACATGCCTTTTTTCACACAATTTGGGTTTATCAAAAAGTGCAGCTTCTGCGATTTAGATAATATTTCGATTAATTGTGCAACCCTAGGTAAGGCTGTATTTAAGTGATGCGTGCGTAATTGAGCTGTGCTTGTTGTTCTGGAGATTTTTGCTGGAAAATGGGTGATTATTTCTCTAGTATTCGAGTTGGAAACAACCAATGCAACATTTAGTCAGTGCAAAATAGATGCGACACAACTGATAAACAACACGTTATCCGTGAATGCCATCTTATTTGCAGGTAGGCGTCATGTCCGTCAAACAAGGTGAATATTGACCGATACATTTGCAGATAAATTGGTGCATTCCGCAATTAGTCATCCGCTATCACAAACGAGGATAACACAATCAACACTCGTTCACTCTATTACTCTTTGTCCCTATCTCTCACTCTTACTGTCGCTGTCTTATTGCTGTCCAGACTCCTCAAAACCCACAAAGTTGTAAAATGTTAACCAAACTAGACTCTTCCACACCCATGATCATTTTAGTTTGCTACACTTATGATCCAATTTCTGTCCCTATTTGAAAAATGAGAGCTGACAGTGGTGTCTGCTTTGCTTTGGAGTGTTGCATATTCAAAAACAAATTTGACATTCCGTACTATAGATGGATAAAGTTGCACTTTGGGCTCCCTACCAGTCATCTGATAAGCTAAACACACCCTGACTGATCACAACCTCTTATTGCAGCTATATTGTGGGCTGAAGTTAAGGTAAAAGGCTGAGAAGATGATGGAAGAGAGTGGGATTGAGACTACGCCTCCTGCCAGCCCTACGCCTCCTCTGAGTGGTTTACCAATGACCATAGGTAAGACATGACCTGTGAAATGTTCTTATGTGAGCACACCAGTGAACCTCCAGTCCTCTTTAGTCTTCAGTCTTTAGTATCCCTGAGTTGTTCTTTGTGTTTCAGGTCTGTCCAGCCCTCTGTCCCTCCCAGGCACCAGCTCCGTCTCCATTGGTAACCCCTCAGTCTCCACCGCCCTCCCCCCTCTTCCCTCTCTCCCTGTTTTCAGCAGCCCTTTGGCTGCAGCCCCCTCCCTCTCCTCCCAGTTCCCTCCGGTCTCCACACTTGCCTCCCCCTTCACCAGCAGCTCCCCCTTCCCTCCTTCCACCTCCCCCACTCTGCCTCCTCTGGCCTCCCCCATCAGACCACCGCCCCCCTCGGCTCCCAGCATGTCGGCCCCTCCTGTAGGTCCACCCGTATCCAGCTTCTCCATGAGTGCCGGATATGACATCACGCGGGGCCACGCTGGGCGAACGCCACAGACGCCACTGATGCCAACATTCTCCAGTCCTACCGCCATGCCAGGTAACAGCCATGATCTTCTTTAACAACTATGTATGTATATGAACATTGTCAACAGGTGGAACTCACTATTCCAAACCACATATGTGATAGATACACACATTATGCGTGTATGCCCTGGAGGCATCCTCATCAGATGCCGAACCATCTAAGCTGGCTCCTTTCGACGCAAAGGAGAAGCAGCTCTACTCCGAGTCCCTTGCGGATGTCCGAGCTTCTCACCCTATCCCTAAGGGAGACGCCGGCCACCCTCCTGAGGAAACCCATTTCGGTCACTTGTACCCGGGATCTCGTTCTTTCGGTCACGACCCATCTCTCATGACCATAGGAGAGGGTAGGAACTCGATATCCTGTACATGAAAGTCACAAACAGGATTGGTGACAAAGCGCAGCCCTGGCGGAGGCCAACACCCACTGGAAACGAGTCCGACTTACGACCAAGAATCCGGACACAACTCTTGCTTTGGAAATACAGGGCTTGGATGGCCCTGAGAAGTGGCCCCCTCACCCCATACTCCCGCAGCACTTCCCACAGGATATCCTGGGGAACCTGGTCATATGCATTCTCCAAATCCACAAAGCACATGTAGACCGGATGGGCATACTCCCAGGCCCCTTCCAGGACACCTGAGAGAGTAAAGAGTTGGTCTGTTGTTCCACGACCAGGACGGAACCCGTACTGTTCTTCTTCAGAGGTTCGACAATCGTCTGGACCCTCCTTTTTTTATATATATATATATATATGAGATATTGCATTTATGGAACAGAACATCCCAAGGCTGCTCAGCGAAGCTCAGACCTAGCATCCAATATGTGCACTGAGTTTTATTACAATAGCTTAAAATTCCAACATTTGGGGGGGATTGTCAGAAATGCAGGGTGAGTCCTGGGAGGGAGTGGCTATCTGGAACTACACTGCTAGATTCCACTAAATCCTACACATTGGTCCTTTAAGCCAATTTTGATTTATGGGTGTTAATCTAAAACTGAACTTAAAGACACAGGTTGTTATAATAAATATATTTCAAATTCTTTATTCATTAGTGCAGGTTTAAAAGACAATTGCAGGGTCTATTCACATTTTCCAGATTTTAACATTCTGTTGTGAAAAGTTGTAAAAAAACATATTACATACTCCACTTTTTTTCCTTATGTGGACCAAGTTTTAACTGGATTGGTCCAGATATGCTATGTAACCAATTTTGATTGCTTAAAATTTGTAGGAAGAGTAGTGAGAAAACAGATTTGGACAAAACTCAAAATGGCAGAAAATCTATCAAGGCCAAGTGGGTGTGGCTTATATGCACAGATACGTCTAGAATAGAATTGATTCTGAGTCTTTCGAATCCAAAGTTACATGCCAAAACTGTTTGTTGTTATAGCCCCACCTCCTGGCCAGTTGCTACAATTTCAGTATGAATACTCTAACACCCTTAAGTTGAACATGGGTACAATTACATTTGTCACATGTGTTTTTCATTATAGTTGTGTTTTAAAAATTGTCCCATCTTCCAGGTGTAGTGTCAAACCCCCTGGTTCAGCAGCCAGCCATGTCAGGAGGATTAGATACTGGATCTCCCATCACTTTCCCAGAGGAGCAGGAAGATCCCAGAGTGTCTGGAGACACCAACACTGGTGGAGGCATCTGGGGCTTTTTCAAGGTAATACCCCTCTAATCAAATGTGTTTCGACTTCAAACATACATTTCACACATTTAATAAATGCATTCAAACCCAGACCCATATATCTGCAATAAACTAATGTTGGCCTGGCTCTAATAACTCCAGATGTGTCCTCTGAGGATGTGATTTGCACCAGTTGGCTGCTATTGTACTGTAGTTAACCCCAGGTGATTCATTATTAGCACAGAGTCATCTTCTTAATCCCTGTTTAAATTACCCTTCTTAAGTCCCCTTTTTGCTCTGTGCTCCAATAACAGCTGAGCAAGCCCCGGTCAGAACCTCGGTCAACTTCCTCCTTTCCTGAACTTATGGTGCTATCCATTTGTCTCGTAAATCCCCTGCCCGAGTTGCTCTGACGCGCGAACGTGACGTTTGTACCACTTATAGCGTTCCAGTTTGTCTTCGGGCATTACGAGTCGGAAAGAACATGGACACCACCAGTGCAGCAGCTGTCTTGTTATATTTTGTCTCGAGCCACCAGGGGCAGTGGCAGGCTAGTGTTATTGTTAGCTACATTAGCCTATTTAGCAAACCAGCTCGAAAACAAAACTTTGCATTGTATTGCACGCACAGCAACACCGTGCAATGCATAAATTGGTGACCGGACTAAAGCAGCAATGTAAACAAGTGTGTAAGAGCATTTAAAATCGACATTAAAATGACCAACGTAGTACAAACACAAAGAAAATACATCTCAACTTATATGAAATATTGGCGCAGCCATCTTTGTTTTGCGAGTCGTACGTTCACCCTCGTTTAGCTCGGTGTACTCTGAGGAGCCCCGAGTGGGACGGCAGATATTACGACCAAAAGGGGGTGTGTCTCGGTGAAATGTCGCGAGATAGCTGCGAGATTTACACTTTCCAACTCGGGCAGGGGATTTACGAGACAAATGGATAGCACCATTAGATATGCTATGTGCTAGGCTCTCTATGTTGAAAAGACAACCACATTTTGACGATGGTTATCCCTCTCTCTGCCTCCCTTTCCTGTCTGTCTTCAGCTGTCACTATCATAAAGACAATAAAAAATAAAAATACTTTAAAAAAAAAAAATAGATGTGACACATGCCCCAGCCAGGTTAGCCATTAGCCATTGTTAGCAATACCATACATTAGCTGTATTTTGCTCATACAAACATGTCCGCAGATAGATCTGGGCCAGTAATATGTGTACAGCTGATTTAATGAGAAACAAGAGACAGAAGTGCTAATAAACAGAATATTACTACAATTTTAATTTTACTACAATTACAGCCATCTTGGATTTTGAGGTTGTGGTTGTTGAGGTCTTCTGACTTTCCTAGTTGGAAATCCGATTTCAGGGGGCGTCCAGTTGATCTTCCGAAATTCTGACTTCCCAGTTCAGCAAATGGAATGCATTATATGGAATGCATCATAACTAGCTAGCTAACGATTAATTTAGATTAACTAGCTAGGTAGCTGTGGCTTTAACAAAAAACTGAAATATTTAGTTGTTTCCTTCTTTATGTTGCTGGTAGTTTGGTGGCTCACGTGACATCAGATTTATAAACAAATTGTGAAAATGTGATTGGTCTGTATGAATGTGTCCATTTTTAGGATTGTATTCTGTCATGTTCTGTGTTTTGTCTGTGTTTTCGTCAGGGAGTAGCAGGTAACCATGTAGTAAAGACAGTCCTGGACAAAACCAAGCACTCTGTGGAGTCCATGATCACCACTCTGGATCCTGGCATGGCTCCATACATCAGTGAGTCAACCTGTTCACTCCTCAGCACTGCATTATCCCTTCATGAAGAAAGTTGACTAAATGTTAAAATGTCCTCAATAAATGTTGCTGTGTTGTTGCTCTCCAGAATCTGGTGGGGACATTGACATTGTGGTGACTTCAGATAAGGAGCAGAATGTGGAAGCAGTCAGAGATGCCTTCCAGGAGGTTTTTGGAATGGCCATGGTCACTGGAGAGCCTGGTCAGTCTAACATCGCTCCACAGCCTGTGGGCTACGCAGCTGGTGTCAAGGTCAGTTCACAACTAGTTCTCCTACCATATTATTTAAAATGGTTGGTATCAATGTAACAGCAAGGTCAGAATTCTTCATACTCATCAGGTCTGACTAAAACCTGTGTGTTTGTGTGCAGGGCGCTCAAGAGCGCATTGACAGCCTGCGTCGATCCGGTGTGATTCATGAGAAGCAGCCAGTGGTCTCTTTGGAAAACTTCATCGCCGAGCTCTTTCCTGACAAGTAGGAAGAAAACACACATACATTGAGAACCAAAGCTCTTTCCAATTCAAACTGTTTAAAACAGTAATTTGAGTGGCAAATCGGCCCCAGACTCCCTTAAAAAAATCACAGAACTTTGTCAGGTGTTGAGTCAGGGGAAACTTTTTTTTATATATGTATGTGTATGTGTATGTATATACACATTCATTCATTCATACATACATACATACATACGTACATAAATATATGAAATTCTTAATTATTTGTAAATTCGGCAAAGTTCCTTTATTTCTATAAAAAATATAGTGTGTTGCAGTACCGGCGTGTAGGATGCTGTAGGTGTCTCTAGGTGTTTAGATAAATGATATGCCTTGTTAACAACAGATCAGCTGCACACAGTCATTACTTACTGTATATCATTCATTCCCACCCGTATAGGGGCACAGAACAGACGTATAATCAGTAAATGTAAAGTAAGTCTCTTTCAGCCTTCTCTCTTGCTTGCTCTGTAAATTTAAAACAACTGTTGTGTTAGCTCAAAACAAATACCTGTATCAGTTACATTCAGATTTTGTTTACACCTACCTAAGATCTGCACAGAATGCGAGCTAGACTACCTACAGATGTGGTCAGGCAGATCCGATCTCGATGCATACCCACCTTCCATCAAAGCTGCAGTGGACATTTAATAAAAAAATCTTTTGTCATATTTGCTGAAACTTTCACTATGTCCTGAAAGTAGTACACGAGACAGATAATCTGTGAAAAAATCAGGTTCCTCTGGCTCCTCCTAGTGCTCCTAATGGTAAATTTCGGTGTCTAGCTAAAGAACCAAAACATATTCAAGATACAGTTATATAATCAATGTGGGCTTAAAGTGCAGACTCCCAGCTTTAATTTGAGGGTATTCACATCCAGATTGGAGGAAGGGTTTAGGAATTCCAGCTCTTTAATATGTAGCCACCTCTTTTTCAAGGGACCAAAGGTAATTGGACAATTAACTCAAAAGCTATTTCATGGGCTGCATGGGCTATTCCCTCCTTAACCCATCATCAATTAAGCAGGTAAAAGGTCTGGAGTTGATTCCAGATGTGGCATTTGCATTTGGAACCTGTTGCTGTGAACCAACAACATGCAGTCAAAGGAGCTCTCAATGGAAGTGAAACAGACCATCCCTAGGCTGCAAAAAAGAAGAAATCCATCAGTGAGATAGCGAAAATCAACAGTTTGGTACATCCTGAGAAGAAAAGCGCGCACTGGTGAGTTCAGGAACTCAAAAAGTCCTGGACGTCCACGGAAGACAACAGTGGTAGATGATCGCAGGATCCTTTCTATGGTGAAGAAAAACCCCTTCACAACATCCACCCAACAACACTCTCCAGGAAGTAGGTGTATCAGTATGTAAGTCTACCATAAAGAGAAGACTGCATGAGAGCAAATACAGAGGGTTCACCACAAGGTGCAATCCATTAATCAGCCTCAAAAATAGAAAGGCCAGATTAGACTTTGCTAAAAAAACATCTAAAGGTGCCAGCCCAGTTCTGGAACAGCGTTCTTTGGACAGATGAAACTAAGATCAACCTGTACCAGAATGATGGGAAGAAGAAAGTATGGAGAAGGCTTGGAACGGCTCATGATCCAAAGCACACCACATCTTCTGTAAAACATGGTGGAGGCAGTGTGATGGCATGGGCATGCATGGCTTCCAACGGCACTGGGTCACTAGTGTTTATTGATGATGTGACAGGAGACAGAAGCAGCTGGATGAATGTTGAAGTGTATAGGGATATATTTTCTGCTGAAAGTAGGAGACTTTGTATAAAAATGGTTGCAATTCCTAAACATTTCATAGGATATTTTTGTTCAATCCCTCAAGTTAAACCTGAAAGTCTGCACTTTAATTGCATCTCAGTAGTTTCATTTCAAAATTGTGTCATTGTCCAAATATTTCTGGGCCTAACTGTAAATGCAGATGTATAAATGCCATGAATTTTCAGAATCCTTTTTGTATTCTCCAGGTGGTTCGACATTGGATGTTTGATCTTGGAGGACCCTGGTCACAGCATCCGCATTGAGGTCTTCACTCAGGCAACTCCTGTGGCTCTGGATCACGCCCAACAGGTACAAATCATCAGCACCTGTAAGGCACACACACTCACATGGACCACAGAGTATTAGGGCCATTGATTGGGCTTTCAAGGATAAAGTTTAAATATTAATAGAAACAAATTGTAATATCTTTTTCTTGAAATTAAGACTTTAATTTCAAGAAAAAAGTCATTAATATAAAAAAAAAAAGTCCCAATATTAAAATCATAGTTTTACAAAAAAAACTGTAAATATCATTTCAATATATATTTCATTACCCAGATGTCTCTGACACAGTATTAATTGTTAAAATGTGATATTTCTTAAAGGGAGTTTGGTGCAGGGAGCTTTTAGTTACATTTAAACTATGTAATGGTAAGGTTGTCTGACGTTAACTGCTGTTAGTTATTAGTTTGATTAATAGTGTGTGTATTGATTGCTGATGCTGGCCAATCAGGCTAATTATCAGCTTATTGTGCCCTGTAAGTAGTTGCAGAGTTGATTGATTGATTGAGTTGCAGGTTGGTTTATTGTCATTGATGGGGGCAAATAATTGGCTTCAAACTTTATTCAGTATCACTCACTTAGACCCCTCCAGCAACTAATTAGACTGTTCTGTATTGTTCCCCTGTGCAGGCTCAGTCCCTGACCCCTCCAGACTACAGCCTGCGCTGGTCAGGTCTGATTGTCACTGTGGGTGAGGTCCTGGAACGCAACCTGCCCAACATCAACAGAACAGACTGGCATCAGGCCATGACGGGCATGACCCAACGGCAGATGATCCAGAGCGCTGCCAAAGCTCTGGCTGGAATCTACAAACAGCAGCTGCCACCCAGGACTGTGTGATGCTGAACGGTTCCGGTTTCTGTCGCATATTGGGAGGAAGTGTGGACGTGCTGGAGGAAAAACTAGCTGATGGGACAGCGAGGTAGCTCTCCATCCATCCTCCATGTGTCCTTGTGGGGCAAAGCCAAATGCACATTTCTTTAAAGATATTGATGTTTATGATCAAAGATATTGACTGACCTTTAACATGTCAGCAGGATTTTACTGAAAGGCCATCAGGACTTAACCATTAACTGATCTCGTCATCATTGAAAGATTATTACACATCATGTATATTAATATCAACAACATTAACACATACTGTGGCAATATTTCATTTTCTGCTTTTGTTTACGAAATGCTTATCGTAGAGACTATTACATGGACTATGTCCCAGCTGTATTGTATGCACTAAAAGTCGCCACAGATCTAACTTTTTGGAAAACTTACTTTCTGGTATGAATTTTTATGAAGACCCAATCCAAAATGCTGTAGTGCTAGGCAGACCCAAACAGAGAGAGAACGCTTCTGACCTGAACCCTGAGATGAGTAGAAAAAACATGACCCTGTGTGACCCAATTAGACTGAATATAATGTGGACCTGGCCTGACTCTGGCCATACTTAGAACTGAGTGGATCTATAAAGTCCTCTAGTATATACTGTAACACTGTAATAGTTAGCAGTGTAAGTACTTGTTTTGTAGTACTGGGAAATGCTAAAAGGTATTCACTGATATATTGACACTACTGCCAATTTCACATTTCAAAACCTGGCAAAAAAGCTGGTAAAATTTAAAAAATGTGTTTAATGATTTAATTTTGTCCATCGTTTTCTGAGCTGTTGCTACAGTCATCAACTCACCGTCCACCTCCTTTTTAAATGTATTTTTAGCTGTAAAAATGTATCTATTGTCTTTGTTGGAACAAAAAAATCCCTCTAGCCCTACTAGAGGGCCCTGGGGCTATTTAATGGCATCTGATTGCAACACCTTTTCGGCTCAGAGAATCTAAGGCAGCTGCTAAATGGTGGACTCAAAAGGCTTGGTGGTTTATGAAACACAAAATAATTTGGAATTATGCAACATGTAAGCATAATTAAATAATAAAGGTATTAAAACTTGACTGTGACACAGGGCCTTAAGCTCAGGTAGTAACACAGGAGCCAACACAGAAGAAAACTTGTATTTGTCAAAACTTAGAGCCAATCAGCTCTTTGATCAAGTTGACTGGCTGATCTCAAATGAGGCTAATGTCAGTAGGTATTGTCCTTTAGTGCATATTCCCATATTCCAACTGAAAATTAAACTTTTAGATGATCATAAATCATTTTCCACACAGTGAACCTACGGCCTTAGAGGGGGCCCTGAGGTTCGGGGGCCCCTGAGACAGTTTGGCATAGAAGCTTTGTAAAGCATTGAATCAATATGAAGCAATTGTGCTGAAAATGGTTTATTGTTTTGAAGCATTGTTTGTGATGATCGTTTGTTTTTTGGTCCATTGAAGCAAGTCTTTAGCTTAAGTCAAGCAAGTTTAGTCTGCATGCTGGTCTTTGTACATATACTTAAGTCAGTAAGTCCAGTTAGATTTAGAATATGGTGTGCAACTGTGACACAGCCAGAATGGTTTGATGGGGACAAAATTATGTCATTGTGTTTCGTATACAGAGAAGGAAGGGTCATTATGTCATCATACTGATGTTCTAATGCCGTGCTTGGTGCCAGACTTTGGTGCCAGTTCTATTAAAGCCTATGGGAGATGTGTGCAGAAGCTCACTAAACCCCAACATATCTACATCATATGACCTTTAATGAAGAACTCACTTTACAGAATAGATATTTCCATGTGTGCATTTGGATCTATGGATGCGGAGAGCAGTGATAATTACGATCTTCTCGTAGTAGTTGCTTGTTTTGCTGTCTGAAATGTTTGCTGTTGGCAGCCTGGTGTTCCATTCTTGCTGTGTCTATGAAGTTAATGTGCAGGGAGTAAAGTATGACTATGTATAAAGTTTAAATAAATAAATTGACGGTTGGGGTTCTGCCAGATTAGCTCAGATCAGCTATTTTGAGTTAGAGCCTTTTAAGGGGAGGTCCGCCTTCTGCAGATGATAAATAAATATTGTAAAAAATCTGTGTTCTTCACTCCTCTCTACCTTTTAATTGGATCCGGTGGCTGCTTTACGATGAAGGACAGTGCTAATAATTATTGTTATGGGAATATCACGTCTTCAAATGAAACCTTTACAAACCACCTCCTGATTATTAATTGTGCATTGTTAGGTAAAACAACAAAGGCATATATACATGGCTTTAAGAAACTTAGAAAACTTTTAACCACAAACTTGATCATCAGAAAATAATTCATCTAAATTGAATGACGCAACCTCTGCCGTAATAAAATCAACACCTGGCCTGTAATCCCATTTGTCTGGTGACCTGCTGTGGCTAATCTACATAACATCTGGTCACCATGTCAACAAACTGTAGATTGGGTTACATAACGTTAGCTTACAGGCTCAGAGTTAATATACTGAGGAGCTTTTCAGGCTAGACCCCGTAGCTTATAGAGCGATGGAGCAGGGACCCCCTATATACGTATATCGTATAAAGATGTGTTGCATATTAAACTGGGCCTACAATAACATGCACACTACAAATAGGCAAGTGTATCTATTATGTTGGATTCATGTTGATGTGTATTTGCAGACATGATATTTTAAAACTGCAGTAACTAAAAGTAAGTAAGTAAAACATAACTTTTTGTCATATTTGCTAAAACTTTCACCTTCAGGCTTGTTGGATTCCTCTAAATGCCATTAGGAGCACTAGGAGGAGCCAGATTTTTTTATTTTTTTTTTAACAGATTATCAAGATACAGTGAAAGTTTCAGCAAATATGACAAAAAAAAAAAAGTTTTATAAAGGTTATATACTGCAGGTAGATTTTCTTTAAGGGGAAAAAAAACACTTATTATTTTAATTTGGTGCCCCTCTGCACTAACTCTGAGAACCCACTAAGGGTTGTGGACCCCCTGTTGAAGACCCAGGAGTTTATCATAGTTTAGCTAACTTACTGTTAACATTAGTCTGATACTAAGCTCCTGTCCATTATAAATTTAGCATAATGTAACTTGGTAAATTAACATACAAATCAAACGAAGTGTACTTTGAAAACACATGAAACATTGGCTTGGGGAAAGATGGAGTGGTCTACCCATTCACCACCACGCTAACTGCACTGACCAGTGTGACATAATGACCCTTCCTGTTTATTTTTCTTGGATATAATGTATTAGTTAAAAAAAATCATTGTATCACATTTGTTGATTTTGCCTTGTTTTATTGCAAAATATTTGCCTACAATAACGTTGTGCTTTATGTGAGCACTCTACCTATGAGTACCTGTAGCAGGATGCTAGCAGTAACCTGCTGAAGTCTGGGTGGAAAGAACATTCTTCGTGTACTTTGTGTCCTCTAAATGTGCCTTTTTACACAAATAAAATAAATCACTTTTTAATGCTGGTTTGTATTAGTCCTACATTGTTTGTTCCACAAGTTAATGTAGAACAAAGATATTGTCCACATATTGTTCCACCAGTCTATCTATTCAGCAGAGTCTGTTCCATAGCTACCACTGAGGACATGTGTCCTTCATTTATTTACTTCTGTTTTTAGCAACCTGTGGAAGGTGACAATCTACAGGTAAAGATGTACACTTCAATGAAATATTTCAAATCTTCCTGTATTTTTACATTTGACCAACAAAACTAGAAAGGATTATAAAAAGGATGAGACCAAAGGTTTACTGGTCTCTCAACGCAACTGACAGAATTTTCTTGACGAGAAGCTCGGGTTCGGGAGAAGCTCGGGTTCGGGAGAAGCTCGGGTTCGGGGGAACCAGTCTGCCCTGAAGGAACGTTTGCCGCTGGTTACACGATGGAGTCCTGGGAGAAGTGGAGGGTCGTGTGCCTGGCGATTCTTTCCGTAGAGGACATCGAGGACCTCTACATATTCGGAACCATGACAACAGGCTATCTGCTGATTGGATTAGGCATTGCCCTGGTGTATCGGAAATTTCGGAAGACGGTGTCAGCAGTCCAAAGCCCCATGAAGCTGCCCGACATGATTGATGAAGTGAGCAGAGCTGTTAGCGCTCAGACTGTGGGTATAAACCGCTGGCTGCTGGCTGCCGATGCTGCCTGTCTGCGCTGGTACGCCTCCACCCCCCTTTCCCACCTCCCCCGGTGCAAGTTGTTTTGAGTTCTTATGTTGCTGAGGTTTTTTCCCAGTCCCACACTGTACTCCCCCACAGGAGCAGAGTCTGGGAGCTGCTCCTCCCCCCCCTAAAAGTAATTTCCCCCCAGGGATTATTAAAGTATTTCTGATTCTGATTGAACCCCGAGGAACTCCTGTGCTGATGTAAAACGGGAAGAGTTTCCAAAGCATGTTATGATTTTTGATATCACAGGCCTTAGACCAATAAAAAAAGGAGACTGAGTATACAGGTTCCTCATATGAGGACGGCCCACAAAGATCACAGATATGAATAACCATGGGTACGGAGAGGGACCCATAGAGAATGCCTTTGTACAGGGCCGAGGCGAAAGCACACACATCTTTGCTATTGGTTGAGGCTGTTGCTTTCTAGGACATTTTCTAGTTTTCTAGGACATTAGTCTCCTCACTTACCACCTCACTGCTTCCTTTTGTAAATTCATTCCAAAAACTGAGTGAGAGCTGCATTGTGCGCTTTTTCGCTGGGTTTCCTTTGCGAGTTGAGTAGTAGATTAGAGCATTGTAGATAGTAGATTCCGTTAGTATGTTTTAGAGGGTCAGTGATTCCGGTATTAAAAGAAAAAAAAAAAAAAACTACAGAAACGGCAGCTCCAGAGGAGCAGTTCTTCTGATGTAAAATAAAATCCCTTCATGCAGGTCTAAAAGTTACAGATTAACAGCTGTCTGGCTCCTAGGAATCTCTTCAGATTCTATTTTCAGTATGGATCTGTTCAGCCTTAGCACAAGTTCGAATACAACTTTCATCTGCTGTATACAGTATTTTCACATCAATGATTCACGTTGCCCAGGGGCAAAACTCCTTTGTTTCTTTACTCCCTCTCTCTTTCTGTCTGTGTGTGATGAGTTGGATTCATCCCAGCACTGAGAACAAGGTACGTGGAGGCAGCTTTTGGAAGGTGATCGGAAAAAACCTGCTAGCCTTTCAGCACGCTGTCACAGTTGGGCTCATCACATGGTATCCTTCATATTTCATCTTTGGGTAGTCAGCGGTAGTATTATTTCCCCCTGAGGTACATGTACTGCCTGATAATGATGAAGTGTAGTTCAAACTTCTGCCTGGAGAAATAAGTGTGATCAGCATTTTTATCTAACTGCAGCTAGGAGAAGTAACCCCAATAAAACTATTGATTCACCATGCTGTTGTATGTACCCTTCTGTTAAAGAAAGAAAAACCCCCAATGGTCACTGAAATAACTTGACACTGACAAAAGTAATAATACATAAAAACGTACTGAAAATTAACTAATGAAAATCCGATATCACTTTTAAATTGTGGTTCAACAGAATCATTTAAAAAACAAACTAATGTGTGTGATACACACCATAATACCAATCAGTACAGTGACAGTTTCGTCCTTTAAATAGGCTGACTGACTGATTACAAGTTTGAAGACACCTGTGATGCTACTTACAGGACACACCTTAGTTAAACATGTCCCTGCAGTCAAATTATTTTCAATCTTTTCTAGGGGTACCATCATTTTTGTCCACGCCAGTTTCATTAGTTTGTTTTTAAAAATGATTAAGTATTTGTCAATTTTTACAACCTGGTTTGGTGTTGAATTCAATAAATTGACATGAAGCTTCTTAAATACTGAACCCATTGCATCACCTTGAATTTGACCCTTAGAAAGCTGGTTACAGGGAAGCAGATTTTATATAAATATATATTTCCTTCTTGTAGCCATGCCACATGGATAGTGGTGTTGGCTGGTGATCCATCCAGCATCGATCCGTCTCAATAACTTCCAGATAGATTGTCATTTGAATTTGATCTGAATATTCATGGGTCTCTACAAGATGATTCCAAATGATCTCTGTGACCTCACTGACTGACTGACTTTATAGGCTGCTGAAAGTTACCTGTAATCATTTTATTAAGCTCAATATCACTTGAAAGTGAGTTACCTTTACCAAGAAAATTAAGTTAATCTAATAAAGTAATACTGTAGTATTTGTTAACTCAACTGGATTTTGCTGGGTTCATGTTCAGTAACGTTACAGTGTTCATTCTACTTAATAAAACCATAAAGTTAACTCAACTCAAAAAGTCCAATGCAAGCTCTGACTTCGGACTTCCGAGGTAACAGGAAGCGCCATAATTAAGGTTCTGTTCCTCTTAGCCAAGTTTAGATTATTTGTCAGGCTGCCGCTGGTTAGTTGTACATTCTCAGTAACATGTCCAGAAAAGGTGATTAATGGAAGTGATATAAAGAGATCACTGAATTCTTTTGAATCAGCTTTGATATTGAACCAACAGCCTGTTGTCCTTAATAAGTCACAGCTCTTGAATAAACACTGTGTCAGTGGTTGCCCTTTGAGAGCAGACAGCCAAGGGCAGCAGTGAGGATTGAAACTGGAGCTGTGAGGGTGTGATGCATTCAAAAAAAAGATGTGAAGATCTTTGCTGAGATTATATATCTTAGCTATGTGCTACAGGCTGTTTTTGTACAGAGGTCCTCCTCCTTTCACCTCCTCTGGGGATTTGGGGACATCAAAGCATCAAAGTAGTTCTTTTTAGGCAACTATTTCACAACTTTTACTGTATACCCCTCAGAAAAAATACCAAGGTCCAGATCTGTGTGGTGTGTATGGCCATGCTCACCATATTTACACATTATACAATTTATGTCTTAAACAATACGTTTATAATATTAATATTAATAATAATTACAATAGGTCCTTGCACTTGTCAGTGCTCGGGCCCCAATAATACTAATAATGCAATATCTGTATAATATGTGACTTCTAGAAAATACAGTTTCATGATGACGTACTTACTCTCAAAAACACTATAGATTTTTGTGTTTAAACCCCCAAAAGCAGTGTGGTAAACGTAAACTGAGGGTTATGATGTCGGATGTTACAGTGACAGTGATGAATACAAATGCAGATTCCACTGTTCTGGTTGCATAAAGCAGTAAAACACCAATCAGAGCTGAGAAACACATAAAGACGGTTTGAGTTCGAGGCTTGAAGATAGTTGATTGCTGAGTCCAATCCCAGGGTCCCAAAGTGGGAATGAGACTCAACAAACAACTATCTTTCTTGGTTCTGATTGGTTGCTTTCATCCAGGCCCGGTGGATTCTTGCATTGTCATTAGGAGGAGCCAGAGGAACCAGATTGTTTCACAGATTATCTGTCTCATGTACTACTGTTAGGATATAGGGAAAGTTTCAGTAAATATGACAAAAATGTGTGTTGGTATGTTCGGTTCTCTTTCACAATATACCCAGATCATTTAGAAGTGTGTTGATGTTTGTGTGTATGCGTGGGGACAGACAGAGGCTGGGAAGGCAGAGCTTTTGTGATGTGGACTGGGCTGATCCGCCCCTTCCTCCCAGCGGAGCCAGGAAGTACCTCAGCGGGCTGGGAGGCTTCAGAGCCCTCAACCTGGGATGGCATCCTGTCGGGCATCAGCACACAGGGAGCGCTTCATCCCGTCGAATCCCCACCTCCTCCTCCTCCTCCTCCTCCTCTGTGTGCTGTCTGTTTGTCGCATACGCTGCCGACTGTGAAGCGGACTGGTGAAGGTAGAATGGGCCAAATCCTTCGGTCCCTTCTGTAACTCTGGAAATGGATCCGACATCCCCGCAAGCAGACAAAGGTATTCATCCTTATGAAGATGCATGTGTTTGTGTGTGTGTGTGTGTGTGTGTGTGTGTGTGTGTGTGTGTGTGTGTGTGTGTGTGAGCAGACTGAGGGTCTCTGCAGCAGCCTCCAGCTGGCTGCAGGTGGCGGCTGGTGGGGGTGTGAGTCCGGATGCTGGCTGTGCACTTGTTGAGTGATGAGGATGTGTGACCGCTTTTGGAATGCACGAGCCGCCAGACCTCACCTGCCATGTTTCAGTGTCGTCATGTGTCAGTGTAATAGTTGCATATGAACCTAATAAGATTGCAGCGTCCTTGTCAGATTGATTCCTGTTGCCAACTTCACTTTGCCCCCCCCCCCTTCCATTTTCTCCTTCACTTTCGGACATTGTCATTGATGTTGCGTTGCCAGTGCCGCACTCACTGAAGCTGCATTAGAGCAATCACTGTAATACAGTCGGAATAGCATCACATAGATGTTTTTTGTTATGACCCATTTGACACAGAATATAAATGTAAAGCTGATGTCACCATGAAATGGGCTGGTACTCACAGCACTGAGTACCAGCACTGTTGATTTTTGTCCACATGAGTACCCGTAGGTCACCGGTATTTTTTCGAGGGATAAACAATAA